TTCGTGAGGATTTGCGCAGACGTGGAGTTTCACCATGCCGTCGGTTCGTTCGGTAAGATCGCCAACATGATCAAGGACGAGCTGTCGCTGAATGGCATGATGTCCACAACGTCGGACAGATTCTGGCGAGCCATTTCGGTCGCCGGAAGCGGTCACCCCTACTCTATGAAGTCTGGAACCTCTTTGGTCCACGCTGTCATGGAAAAGCACTTGTTCAGAGAAAAGATGCTCGCTTCTTGCTTTATGGCACCGGACCCCTTGACCGAAGCGAATAGCCTCCATGATCCCAACTTGGAACACGTGTTGCAGGACAAAGAGAGGTTGTATCAGTACTTGTTCGGAGATTCCGTGAGAGGAAGCCATGCTTATCAGTCCACCGCGGAGCCTTCAGGTGAGAATGAGTCTGAGAGGAGGAAGAGGGAGAAGGTAAGGAGAGAGAACAAGATGCCATGGATGGATGAGTACTGGCGAGTCCTTCAGCCAGAACCAATATACTCAAGGACTCAAAGGTGGTACGTCATTGATGACTTTAAGGAGGGTGAGGAAATTTGCTGCGATTACTGTCTGTTCTGCAACCCCATAGACTTCGAGTTGAAAGATGATTGCTATACGGAATGCATCAACGGAGCAGCAAACAGATGCCGTGGGATGTCCGCAGAAGACTACGTCCAGAAGCGATTTCATGCATGTGCTCGATTGCTTCACAACTTCGGCATGGGGCAAACGGTATCTTCTCCCACCATCGTAATCTCCGAGATGAACCCGCACGATGACTTGATGAAGTTTTTACACGAGGCGATGATCATCTTCAATGAGAATCCAGGTTTCCAGAAGGAGATTTCGTTCTTCGGGGGGATCAGGTTGTCATCAACAATGACGGAGAGGAGAGGACCCAGCATCCATGTGGAAAAGCAGAAAATCGGCAGCGCCAAGTACTTCCAGGGATCCTATGACCTTGGCAACGTATGCTACACCAAATACCTCAAGACCATACTGGAACCCGATGTATTCCGCACTATATTCGGAGATGATCCCACGGAGGAACGGGTAGGTGACATGGTGGAAGCGCTGCTGGGCATGTTCGAAGTTGCTCAACTCTTCAGGCGCATGTTCAGGAGATGGGGTGACATCGAAGCTTTGAGGACGGGATTAGAGGAATCCATCAAACGCGTCACTGCATCGCTGTACGACAGGACAACATATGAGAACCGAAAGCGATCGATGATTAGAACCATGGACCCGCACTCTGATGAGGCGGCAAGCGTGGCGCTGATTCTCGTCCGCATGAGGACTATGCCGCTTCCTGAATTCGACATCGACCACTTCTTCGAAATCGGAAAAGAACCAGAACAGGGAACAGGAGCCACTGGCGAGCCCGAGGCCGAAGGTGTCGATATGGAGACTGAATGTGTACAGGAGAAGGAGGAGCAAGACGTTGACATGTCCGACCCGAAGGCATCAATACTGCATGCCATCGACGAATTTGAGAAGAAGATCGGGCAGGCAGAATTCTGCATCCACTGCATGGAGTCGGGACACACAACTCTAAATTGCGAGAAGACCCTTTCATCCTCACCTACAGTCACCTCGGTGTTGAGTGATTGGAAGAAGAGAGTGAAGGGAGAGGTTGCACCCGACGATGTACCATCAGGACATCCAACCGAACAGCCTAAGAAGAAGAAGCAGAGAGCGTCGCCCACTCCAGATAGAAAGGTCGACAGCGAGTTCAGGCGCAAAGAAATGTTAAAAGCAAGAGTCGTGACAATGTTCGACCATGACGGATTCACCTTGATCGAAAGTGCTGATGGAGTCGAAGGAGGACCACATTCCTACAATGGGCGGAAGCTTGTGGAAGCAGGCCCTAAGGATATGAAAGAGGTGTATGAATTTGTCGAGAAGGCATTTGTGCACTCCAGTTCCCTCACACCAAAGGCATGTCATCACTTCTATCCCCTACCAACATGGAGGGAGAAGGGATACAAGCCGATCGACCCCATGACGATGGTCGGGAAAGTTGAACTAGTACCGATCAACGGAGTCACTTTCGCTGCAAAGAACTCCGACTACGGCAACCACAAGTACCCGACTCCAGACTGTCGAGTACGTGAATACAGCCAAACGAGCCAGGCCCTGAGTCGTCGATTGGGAGCGAAGTTGAGACATCGAATTGGACGCCAGTTCAGGACAGGAGGAAGACTCGCACCAATCAAATGCGATGAAGGCGCATGGGTGTCATGGGAAGACCTGTTAGGTGATAATGCAGTTTGGGAAGACGGTTATCACTACGGCAACATAGATATCGTGACCAAGAAGGCGCGTTTGGAGAAGTACTTCGACCAAAACTATGAGTGTTTCCGCATGACCAAGAGGGTCAGATTCCAAATGTTAGCGGTCCGTGTTCACCCTGATGAACTCAATGAGCCTGATGACCCGATGGAGAAGGGATGGATTAACGAACTCAAGGACATGGGAATCTCTAAAGGAAGACTCCACCATAGCGATGGATGGTGCTTTCCCGTGGCTGTAAGAGCAACCTCGGCACACTCAACGGACGGCGGAGGTTATGACGTTACCATTGACATCGACCACATTGGGTCGAGAATGACCAACGACGTGGCCCTATCTATGGTGACTGCATTTCACGCTACCAATCTCGGAGCGCTGACTTCAATCATTCGACGAGGGCTAGTGCCGGGAGGTCTCGGTTCATCGGGAAGGGATTCTATCCACTTCACATGTTTTCCGCCATGGGCCTGGGAGCAGGGCTACAAGGGTAAACCTTGGCTGGGTCGTAAGGTCGCAATGAGGGATCGCCCAGTGGTTCTCTACATTCCGGTGTGGAAGCTGCAGGAGTACGGACTTCTCATCTCAGCGACTGGGTCTCTATTGGTTGAGAACGTCGTTCCCTTCGATGAGGTTAAAGGGGCATGGTTGCAATGCAACAATGCGGAACCCGGGCAGCCTGAGAAGATCGAATGGATCCGGTTACTCAGTGGGGAACCCGACCCTGGAAGCTACCTTGTTCTAGAGTCCAAATACGGAAACCCGATCATGATTCCACGCTTTCAAAAGCTTGAGAGCTTAGCGGTTGAGGTTCAGGACGATACCTACTCCGAGGACGACGCCAAAATCTTAAAGCTGTTGGGTATGATCGAGGAGAGTGGTGTTTACCCAGAGTATGATAACACCGAGTGGCAGGAACTCTTCGAGGAGATCGTGTACCGCCGAGCGATGAAAGACTATGATTCAAGGCCGTGTCCTAACTGTCTTGGCGAAGTCGATGTGCGATTGACGATATGTCCGCACTGCGTAGCGGTTTTGATCGTGAATGGGAAGCTCACACATGTGGTACCCAAGGAGACAAGGGACCGCAATCAACGATCACCTCCGAAAGATGTCCCAGCCAGTTCTTCCGGTGAAACAACCTCTGATGCAGGGGCAAACATCGATGAAGTCATCAAGAACGCACGCAAGACAGCCGAAGAGGTCATTGAGATCGAGGAATCCGAAGGAGAGGAAGAGGAGGAAGTTCCTATCATTTTGAAGGAACGACCGGACGAAGCTGAAGGCGAACCCGAGTATCGGGAGGTCCCTCAAGATGGATACGGGAATGAACTTCCGAAGCCTTTCCCCTTCGCAATTGATGAACTGCCGCAAGAAGCTGCGATCCCCATCGACCACAACTTTGCCGTCACACAGCAATTTGATCTGAGGTTGATGAAGTTGATCAAGGGCTTGGCCAACGCAACGTTCGACATCAACTGCTTTGAGAGTCGTGAAGATGTACTGCGAATGTTCGACGATGGACCGCGGCATGACACTCCGCACAATAGATGGCCAATAGTACCGAAAGATCCGGATACTGGGTTTCCAAGACGTCTCAAGAGAGACGAGGCCGTAGGCATGAGCAGATGGACCGACGACGTGTTTGCAGCAGAAGCGTGGCAGATCTATGAATTCCACGCCAATGTTGTTCATCCGATGATGATCACTGCAATCCGCTGCGGGCTTAGCCACAAGTACCTCAAAGAGGTCGGCAACACTCAACGCAGCATGAGTGATCCAAAGGCTCGAAAGTCCGAGACCCAGGATGAGATCATCGAGAAATTGGCATTCATCTCAAATTTCATCAGACGCATGATCAAGAAGACCTTCGGAGCGAGCCAATATAGTTACTACCAGAAACCAGATGACGAAAGTGCCGCTCCATACAAATTCATCGACATTAGTCCCGCCATCAAATCGGAGAGGAAGAATGTCACGAAGGAGATCCTCGTTGCATGCCGCTACTATGGCATAGAGGTATCCGCTATCCAAGCAAAGAAATTGAAGTCCTTCGAGGAGCAGATCCGAGCGGGAAATCCAAGGAACGTTGAGCTCATCAAGGACTACATTGGCTTTGTCGGCGCTGACTACATGCGACAACTCACGAATGGTTGAGCATTGGGGTCATACCGATATGCCACTTCCGGTACTTCAAGTACTGAGGGATCTCGGGTAATTCATGATGACCGTTTTGGCATCATGGGAGTGAGATAGGATTGTGTCTCACACCGTTGGTAATCGCATGATACCATAGGTAGGTGCACGTTTTCCGCTTGTAGCTCCATTGCCTGTTTGATCCAACTTTCAAGCGAATGCAAGATCTTTTGCTAATTCAATTCAATAGGACATACTGGTTGACCTCCAATACACTTTTGAGAACGTGATTCGTTCTCCGGTTTTTACATCCACTCATCTCCCTTCCCCGTCGAAGTACGGATGTGGGGGGTGTCAACAGGGATGGGGTCCCAGTATAGTCGCTATACAGGTACATGCCATATACTTTTGGCTCAAGTGCCCAACCAGGTAAAAGGGAGCTTTAGCGCGCGAGCTTCATGTTGACCTAAGAGCTAGAACGGGGCCAGGGCACACCTTTCCATCCGTTCACATGTGTCAACCGCGCTTTGATATAGGCACCAAAAAAGATGTCTTTCTGCAATGGTGGGCTTTGCCACAAGGACTCCTGGCACGACGCACATCCCCTGCTGGGCTGAGACGTCAAAGAATCAGGAGTGCAGAGAGGGAATACGATTCCCTTCAACACCAAGATCACGTGTGGTTCGTGCTAGGATGAGCAGGAGTCCCTGAAACAGGTGCCTTGTTTCATGCGAATCAGAGAAAGCTGAAGGAACAAGGGAGGCTTTGCAGACTCTTTGTCTGTCCGAGGCATATCTTGCCTTCCTGAACAAGGAACAAAGCTTTGAAGGCCACATGGGTGAAGTGATGGTGAACTGTTTTTTCTTTTGCAGATACAGTGTTTATTTTTAAAGGCCGCTCTGCCCCCCTATTTAATTAAGTAGGCACCTACTTAATCAAGTAAGGGCTAAGTCATCTCCTAGCAACTGGACGCACGATAGCTGATAGAGCTCGCACTAATCATTTGGTTCCTAGAGTTTTAGAAAAAAGTATACTATGACGAACTTTTGACTTCTTTTTCACCGAAAGCGTGGTGAAGGTTTGTTCTCGTCTCTGCCAGACATCTCTCTCCGCCACTCGCATGACTGCGTCATATGCCATTTCTTTGAAGTCGCTGTTTCCAAGATTTTCCAAGGTAATTGCCCTGCATGTGACTGCTTCAGATGATGTTTTGCATGTGACTGTTTCACGCGTCACTGCCCCACATGTCACTGCGAATCGTCGTGGAGTGTGACAAGGAAGAAAGAAGTAGGCTACTTTTCATTGTCGAACTTCAGTTTCTATTTGACTAGTCACTGCAGTTTTGCCGCGCGTGTCCCCAAAAGAAGGTTTAGGACGGGCGATTTGGCAGACTGCTGCTGCTTGCTGCTGTTGTTGTGCTGCTTTGTGCTAGGTGAAATTACGTATTGAATGTCTTTGTTTGATTTGGTCTTACAAGGCCTTTGTTTTTCCTGACAGATTTTGGATGCGCGACCCCTAGGTTACGACTTGGTGCTTATGATTCTGGTTGTTTATTCCTTGAGATGGTGTCTTTCCTTGTTTGTGTGTGTTTTTGCTCTTAGTGTCTTATGTTTTTTTGCTTTTATTTTTTTTTCTGGCTTGTGCAGCTGGTATATTTTTTGCTTTGCTGCGGGTGCTTTCACTCTTGATGTGTTCTTGTTTGGTGTTCCAGCATGATCCAGATTGCAGACTTGACACACACACACACACACATATACATCTTCAGAACCTTGAATTATTTCTCTGGGGCTACATATCCCGTAGTTCATACCCAGAACTACAAGCAGGTGAAGATGCTCAGACGTCACCAGCGCCTCGAGCTGCAGTTCCGGCCACATTGCCGGAAGGGCAAGGACCCTTGCCGATGCTTTCAGATTTGTTGGATTCTGTTAGCGTTCTTGCAGGTGCTTCGTAAGTGATACGTACTTGGAGTATCTTCGAGCACTCGATCCACACCTGTTGTGTATCAGAACGGTGGCGAGTGAACAACATCCAAAAAGTCTAGGAACCACATCATTAGTGCGTGAGCTATCCTGCGTCCATGCTAGCTTAAGCAGCTAGTAGCTAGTAGCCTAGTAGCTACCTCTCCCTCACTTAATGAGGTAGGAAGGGGGGGAGCGGGCCAAACAAACATATTGATATCAGGAGCCGCAATGAAGCACTTCAGAGGCGAGAGACTCGCACGATGCTAGACACAACGTCTCCCTCCGTTTGCAAAGCTATGAACAGTGTAGTCTGAATCTTGCGGAGCCTTGACTTGTGGGATAGTCTGGTGATGTTTAGCAATTTGGGCTGAAGTGTTGTGACTTGGAGTGAGGGGACTTGCCGTGGTTGCAATAAATTATGATGGTTATCTGTAGCAAGTTGTTATTCTTTGCTGTGAGCACAGTTTGGTTTCTCTGAGGTTTTGAATCTATTAATTAAGGCACAGTCTGGTCTGTAGAGTCACCGTAGTAGCTTACAAGAAACTTATTTTCCCTTCGATTATGATTTGCAGTGGTTTCTGAGGTAGTTTCTGGTGATTCTATTGGGATGCAATGATTGTGTTGATGTGCGATGATCTGTGTTGATATGTGTGGATGTGTAGTGACTCGCGGTGTTCTGGCAAGCTCTAATCAGTGCAATACTAAACATTGCATGCACGAGCTGAGCTGTATCAAAAGCCTTTATATAGTTGCGAACCAGTCGCAAGGCTGTTGGGGACCTTGTCTTGAACCACCCCACACAATCCCACATACACATACACATGCACATATACTCACTGCATACAATGTGCCAATAATATAGTACTTTGTACACGCCCATAGGTCTTTTCTGATATATGTTTGTGTGTTGCGCTATGTGATTTGTCGGTGGCGTGACTGTCTAAACTTCCATTGGCCAAAGAGGCAGCCCGCAGGAATGACAACAAGTTGCAAATATGTATTGTGCAAAGGATTGATCTGGCGGGGCAAGGCTGATAACCCTAGCATCCAAGTCACGCCAATCTGTGACCTGCAGCACTAGATTTACCTTTGCTTTTTCAAGGACTCCCAGGATGCATTGCTTGGTTTTGAGTTGGGAATCCTTAGCATCCGTCGCTGCATGAGGCCTTGAGGAACTTCATGATCTGCCGCAGGTCTATCGAGTGGCAACCTAAGCAACGCAAGGAACGAATCGATAAGGTCGCCTTTGCAGTTGATAAGGCTGCCGTATCGATTGTGGCAAAGCACGGCTGGGATGCTCTACATGGTGGGGAAAATGCAGGAGATTGGTGAGTCTCCATGTTTGTATTTGTGCTTTCCTCAGACAGGATCGGTGTTAGTGCTGCTACAGTGCTACAGTACAAGGCCCCACGCAGTATCCCAGGTGTCCAACCCACCAACACAACTCATGGTCCGTCCGTCCTTCCAGTGACCCCACTCAGTGGCCCAACCCAGCATCCAGACAGGCTCCCACCAATCCATCAGGTTGCATCTTGGCAGGCCACAACATCAACGACCAGCCGGGTGACCAGCCTCTTGCACTCGGATTGACAAGCCACTATGGCAACAAACAGAATGGACAAATCACAAAGAAATGTCAAGGAATGCACGATGACGATGTCCTGAATTTGGGAAAGTGACAATCTTTCCGGTCAATTCGGTCAATTTGGTCGGATGTTTTTGATGTGATAGTCTTTTGTCCACCACGCAGTGTAATCGGACAGGAGCTTGCTGGACGGCTTTGCACTGGGCTGCAGCAGAGGGGCGGACTGATGTTTGCCAGCTGCTGTCTTGAGCTGAGACGGTGAGTGTGAGAGCCCAAGTCAGCTAAAAAGAGGCAGGCATATCTGATGAAAGAGCATTCAATTTGGCCTGGCTGCTCTCATGAGATCAATATATATATATATATACAGTAGATTAATCGAGCCCGGTTTTGCTGCAGCTTGGGACCAAAGATTGGTAACATCAGTGAATATAGTGCTTGTCATGTTTGTTCGTTTGCCTCTCTTCCGTCTTTTCTGGCTTCAACTCAACTTAACTCGCTTCAGTAGATGTCTCATTTTGTCTCGTTTATCATTTGACATTTCATCTCAGCTTGCTTGGTCTATCTTGTTCAACCAGCGGTCACCTTACTTCTTGTGCGTCTCATCTCTCAGCCCTCTTCGGTTTTTCTTCCCAAACGCCCTCATGCCACTCATACGTCAAGAATGTGTTTCTTGCTTTCGTCCCCTTGACACTTGCCACTCTCAAACAGCGTACCTAACTCTTGGATCTCTGTCATCCCTTTTAGCAGTTTGCTTTGTAGAACCATTGCCGCGAATTTGCCTGTCAGAACCGATGATCTAGGCTGCAATGCCGTGCAGATGCCAACCACGAGGACGACCTTTTTGAGAGAACCCGTTTGTGGTAGCGTTCTTAAGGCCAGGAGCCCGTAGTAGCGTTCTTGCTCCTAGTTTCGCCGGTTCTAGTTTCAACAATGCAAAGTCTTCAGGACGAGCTAGGAAGATGTGCATCCTACTATGCTGGGTTGCATGGCCATCTCGACACCCAGGCCCTCCAGCTCGCTGGGAGAAGCGAATCTCAGTCAATGTCTACATTGTCCGTGTTTTGCAAATGAGGCGCTGCTCAAGAATGGGGGAACTGCACAGGCTCGGATTGCTGGACCTGCGATGTGTTGTTATGTGGCGATGAGCCGGCAGGACAGGCAGGATAGAAAGATTCCTGGGGACGAGGCTGGTTAAGAAAGAGAAAAAAGGATGTGGACTTGGTCTAACAAAGCCCCTTTAAAGGGGGCCTGAGTCCCTTGACTTCAGTTTTATTTGACAGGAAGCGGAAGAGGGTGAAATGATGTCTGTTGCCAGCACCAGGGCTTTGACCCCAGTGTGGAGCTTTGGCCAGAGTATCTACACATTTGTGACATTCTGTAGCAAAGGCCAGTGCAGCTCTTGTTGAACGTGCCTCCAATTGGAACCAGCCTCAGAGCAGAGAACTCTTCTAGACTCTTGGACCTGTACTCATGAAGAGTTCTGAAAATGCCTTTGCAAACGCTTAGGTCTTTGGGAACATTGCGGCAATCTTGACCTTTGAGTGTAGTCAGTGTAGTCTGCCACAGTACACATGTACTTTGGGTGGATGCTACCGATTCCCAAGTTTGTTCTCAAGTCAGTATCCTCGGTGTTTGCCCTGGTGCTGTGTAAATGCAGCCTTCGATTGGCCCAGAGAGAGGAGAAAAAACATATCCTGCAGTGCCAGCTGCGTGCCCAAACGCTCTCTAAACTTTGCCTCAACCTTGCCGCAGCAAACGGTTGTTCAGATTCGCCAAAATCTTGAGACCGGTTTGCTCAATATGGGCATTGCACCTCACGGCTTACTCTATGGGAGAGTAGGTCAGAGTACTCGCATGAACGTAAGAGGCCGTCCAGTTATTCGTACAGTCCACAGACGCGAGCAGCAGAGAATTGGATTAGCATGTTTGCACTGTTCATGAGGACGCACATTGCCTTTTGTGCTGCTTAAATTCCTGCTGTGCCCTAAATTGAAAAGCCTGCGCCAGTACGGGAGAGATTATTTGCCGATACTACATGTCGGCAATGAAGTCACACACACATTTTTGCGTCAAGTTGTGTTTGACTTCTTGAGTCTGCAGCGATGATACACGGAAGACGTTTGCACACCACCAGTGCCACGTGGCCCTGGTCAGACATCCGCACCGCTGTGCTTTGTGTGCTCTGCTATGATGGCGCTCGATAGAAGTGGACTCCCTTTTACACTAGCATACTGTGAAAGGAATCGGAAGGACACCTGCAACGACCAGCAAACATCATGAGATGAGAACTAGTTTGCCCGCCCTTTTCAAGCAAATCTCTTCATAAAGTGAAGAGAAGAGGGTGGGATGTGGGTTTGATGTGTGCTGATGTTCCGTGCCGGGTCGTCCTAGCCCAAGCTGTGGACGAAGGATTAATACTATATATATATATAATTATATATATATATGGGGTTGGTGCATTTTTATATGGTCAAGCTGCTGAAATGGTTGAGGTTTTCTGATTGTGAATGTGGAGCGAGTGTGGAGCGAGTACAGCGTGCAAACTTGCCACGTGCTGAGCGTTTCTTCGAGATTCTTCTGGAGTTTTTCCAACTAGTTTCTTCAAATTTCTTCAGCGTGCTTAGTGCAACATGGGCTTCAGTGTTTTTAAACTTGTTGCAGTGTTGCTTCTATTGAATGTGCATGGTGCACAATGCCGAAACTCATCAAGCCATGCCTTGTTTGGGGTGAACGTTTCGACGGCAAAGCATTGGCATGTCATTCTGAACCCGAGGCCAGGATAGCAGGTGATGCGGAGGACCCAAAAGACTCTGACCAAGACTAGCCAAGTCCTGTTTTTGTTTTGAGAGTCACAACTCTTCAAAAAGCAATGGATCGCGGCTGGTCCACAATGAGCCCCATCAATCCCCAAGCGAAGTCAGCGAAGTCGTAGAGGAATATATACATATATTTGTGTATATATATATACATACACGCATCTACACACGTATTTTTGCAGAGCAGGTGAGAGAGAGAGGTTCTGTCGGAGAGATAGGTTCTTTAGGGTGTCGAGGAAGTTGGTGGGTGTTTCTTTCTTTGAACTTATTGAAAGATAAAGTTGATGCCAAGTGAATATCACTTGAACCGAACGCCATGTTGAATACGACTTGCGCTTGCATCGTTCTGTCCTTTGTCCTTGGAACTGCAGGAGGCCCTTTGTTTTGGCGCTGTGCTTGCATGCCTTCTGCGTTGAGGCCGCCTTGATGCCATGAGCCTGCAGGGCTCGGTGTTGTGGAATTTGTAAACCCTCAGACGCAACTACAACAACTCTGAATATAAACCACTCAGAGCCAATGAAACTAGATTGGTTGCAGTGTTTTTCTTAAAGACTGCTCAGGCGGCTGAGTCTCAGCCCTCAGGCTGGGAGACTGGCTTGGACTGTGACGAGACATCGAAAGTCAGACGTCGAAGGTCAATTCACGGAAGGTAGCTGTAGTTATAGCTGGAGTTACAGCTGTAGCTACCCGAGTTCTCCATTGCTTGGCAGGAAGAATGTCAATGAACTCCACTTGCGGGGCCTTGTCGATTCCACGGTTTTACATCCCATTTCCTCATAAAGGTTGCATGTCAGCAATGCAGTGCAACTTCCACAGCCTGTGTGACCTTCCTTCCCTACCCCCTCTCCGGACTGGCCAGAAAGTGTATTATATATATATATAATTGGAAAGTGTCGTTCCAGAGCTGTTTGTTTTGGTTTTCAGGCGACCTGCTCGACGAGAGGTTTGGATATTTTGGAGCTTTTTGCATCGTTGTCACTAATTGCAGCTGCGCTACACACTTGCATTTGACGTGCAGCATTTCGGTAGATAGTAATTCTGAGCAGGCGGCGTTCCAAGCACTTTCTGCAGAAGTCACTGGTGCAAAGCCACCACAAACCACAGTCTGAGGAGCTCAGTGCAGCATTTTGGTGTCCTGGAGTTAAGAGTATGACCGCAGCCACTTGTAAAACAGGCCCGTTTATGAATTCTGAATTGGTTACTGTAAGTCACCAGGAGACAAAGACCCTGCAAGACTCAGCTCAGAGAAAGCGCCTGTCAGCCAGTGGGCAACAAAGCACCTTGTCAGCAGGGGGCAACGAGTCTTTTCAGCGGTCATTGGATGAGCTCGACTTTTCCAAAAAAGCAGACTTTTGTGCAAATTGCAGGTTTGCGAAGTGGCAGAGATGGCTTTGAAGAAGAGAGAGAATTCATTGATGAATTCAGCTCTGAGGAGACTCCCCCAACCAAAGCCGGGTGGGATGGAGCTGGTTTCTGTCCCAACTGCTTTCCTGAGAATGGCACTGGTGGATCTCGTCCTTCCGTGTCTGATTTTCCATCACAACCAAGCGATTTTCAGAGCATTCAACCAACGCACTATCTCAAAGAGAAGTTGGTTGGCAGTTTGCTCAGAAGACACAGAAGACTTCAAGCTCAAGGTTGTCCTTCAGAGGATTTGCTGAATGCAATGAATGATGAGACATGTAGCATCGTCAATGAGATTGCCCGCACTGACCGTGGGAGCTATGCCGGGCAGACGACCAGTTTCGATGCTTTTCTGGTACTTGCTGACTGTGTCTGACACTGAGAGTGGCACGATTGGAAGATGGTAGCAAGCAAAACATTCAAGCTGCAGGTTTTGGAAGAACATGAGCAGTTGGTTTGCTTTTGCAGGGTTACATGTCCTACCTGATATGGGGTGCAATTGGTGGCACCCTGTCGGGTATGGGTCCTGGTGCTTTAGCCAGAATCCCAGTCTGAAGACACCCTGAACAGTTTGATAACACAGGAAGCTGAATTACTTCTTCAATTGCATCTTTGTTTTTTTCTCTTGACAATGGCCGAGGCTATTTTGGGCATTGTTTTGATGTGCTGGCCGATTGGAGCCTGCAAGGTGCCGCTCCGATCGTCCTTGATGATTCTTCTTTGGGCCCTTGTTTGTGACAATGCTCAGGTGTTGTGTAGATGTTGTCGGAGATGCTGCTGCCGGTGCAGCTCTTGAGTAGAGCTTTCACAGTCACCAGGCCACTAGGCACTTCCGCACATTGTGGCAGCGAGGTGCTGCAGAGAAGCACCAGAGGTGCGATCCATAGGCCGGAGTTCTACAGTACATATCAGTACCGGATTGAGCGCATGCGGGACGTGTGCCAATGGCTCACTGACCCAGGGAAAGTAAAGAAAACGTTGATCCTCCTTCTCTCCGTTGCTGGGGTCGGTGGTATGGCAGTTTTGCCACTGGCAGGCCACAGATAGTTGTTCTTGAAGAGTTTTCCGGCATTTGGGTTTGTCCAATTTGGCATTGAGGTGTCATGGGAAACCTGAAAGAAGGACCATCACTTTACCAGGATGCGGACTGTGCAGCCAGGCAACCCTCAGATCGGAAAGATGGATGTCCAATGATTTTTGTTGTGTCCAATGATTCATCTTGAGTCTTTGAGGTTGTTCCTGAAATCAGCTCTGTACCGACCTCAGCCACCACAAAGCCCTGAGATGGATGCTTTGTACCGATCGAGTACTGCTGTGTACTGCCATCGACGACAGGGGGGACACTGCGGCCATCGGCAGCTCCGGCAGCGTCGCAGTGACCACAGAGCCACCTCAAGGCAGAACAGCAGACCCGGCCTGGAATGGGCAGAGCCCGCCGAACTCATGGTTACGGTCTTCGTGTTGGAAGGTGCTAACTCAACCAGGAGGCTTCAAGCTTGTGCCCTAGAGCTCTCTCAAACTTCCAGAGTCTAGTGTAGCTTGTTTTTCCTTTATTTCCTTTCTTCTTTATTTCTTGAACCCTTTGTATAGATTTCTCCATATTTCTTCATTCTTGCCTCTAGAGTCTGCTGCAGAAGAACGTCCCCAGCTTGATCCACGATGGCGATCTTACCACGCAGCTTTACCAGGGTTTTGCTCAACACAATTTTGCATGGAGTCACATTGACACCCAACACCGAATTGCCACCATTGGTCCGATTGATCCCTTGATTTTTTTGCTGCTACAGAGAAGTTTGTCTATAGACATCTGTCTGATCACAGTTTGTGCCAGCCCTGTTGTGTTGCGATGAAATTACATCGTATAGTACTCTTGAAAACCTAAGGCCTCTTTCATGGGGCTAGCTGAAGCTTACCAACAGGCAAAATTGTGAGAGACTACTTGCAAGCAATGCCTGCAAGGATTCTTATGATTCTGATTCCCACAAGCATGCCCGATTTCAGGTGCAAGCTGTATCCACGGCAGTGACCTCCCTGGCATCGACCGCTGCTCAGGCCAAGTGAAGCTTGTTTCAAGGGCGCGCTTTAAATTTCTGGCGGTATCATTGGCACTGTGTGTCTATTTGTCTTTGATTCTTTGTCTATTCATATTCCTGTATGCTGTGTGCGTTCTTTGATTCTTGCCTCAGGCTGCCAGCCAAGATGGCGGTGCTACCGCATCGATTCAAGAGTCTGCCGCACTTCTGAGGTGGAATTATTAGTGTGAGCAGTGCGCATGTCCCACAGCTACCACTGACGTTCCAAACAGGCCGCTTTGATGACTTATATACTGTGTATAACCTGATGCTGTCCTGTACAGGAGATGCGTGTGATGGACTCACATCACTCCATGCGAGAGAAGAGCAACAACAACGACAACAGCAGCAGCAACGGCAACATGAAGGTTACAAGCAACTGCAGCCCCGTCATCACCCAGCTTACTTTGTCTCTACTCATCCTAGAAACTAAAGCTGTGCCCACAAGTAGCAGTACTAGTACTAGTACTGGTAGTAGTGGTGGTGGTGGTAGTAGTAGTAGTAGCAGCAGGAGCAGCAGCAGGGGTAGTGGCGGTAGTATTACTGTACTATTTTTATTATTGGTAGCAGTAGCAGAAGCAGTAGCAGTAGCATTAGCAGTAGTACTCGTCGTCGGCGTCGGCGTCGGCGTCGTCGTCGGCGTCGTCGTCGTAAGAAGTAGTACCAGTGGAGTAGTAGTACCACCAGGTCGTAACCTACTACTACTACTACTGCTGCTGCTGCTGCTGCTGGTGCTGCTGCGGCTACGGCTACGGCTACTGCTACTGCTACTGCTACTGCTGCTACGCGACGACCCTTTAGGAACCTATAGCAAATCCTAGGAACTAAAGCTGGAGCCTGTGGTTGCTTTTGCAGCTCCTGAAAGGGTGTTGTTGTCTCTACCCCCTCCTCCTACCTGTTTAGCTTTTTCAACAATCCCCCAAACAACAGCTAAAAAACACAAAAAACGGACCAACCCAGACCAGTGAAACAAGTCCAACAGCTCCAGCTACTTACGAAACAACAGCAACAGCACCCTCAACAACAGCAGCAACATCAGCAGCAGCAGCAGCAACAACAACAACAAGAACAAGAAAAACCACAACAACGACGACAACAATAGTAACAATAACAATAATAATAGTAATAACAATAACAGTAACAATCACAATAACAACAAAAACTGCCGCCAACACCCCAAGCAGCTGGAACATCCAGTAAACTTATGGAGTTCAATCATCTTCAATCCAATTTCCTCTTCCGAATTGCTGAGCTGGTCCCAGCAGATGTGACTCGTGGAGGCTTATCCAAGATTCGCTTGGAAACCAGATCACAGTGGATGGGTTTACGCAACGGCCTCAGCAAAACACAGACGAAAATCAGTTCGGCCTCACAACGTAAGGTGCCAGTTCTGTCAGAGTTGTTGCGGATCTCAGGCAAAGTTTTTCCATCTTGGTTGTGACCAGGGGTGCTGTAGCATAGCCAGGCAGATTTGGTGCCCCAGCTGCTCTCGAAAGTGGAGGTGCCCGTGGTCAATCACAAGTATGGACTGATGAAGTCCATGCCTTTGCCACATCGGTGGACGCATTTATGCGCAGGGTGGCAATGTGGGCTCCGTTGTCAGCCTTCACGATGATTTCCAGGCGCTTGAGAAGAGTAGACTACGAGGCAAAAGCATCCTTTTCTCAAAATCCCTTCAGCTGGCACCACCCATCTGCATCCTGGGGTGGGCTCGGTGCTGGGCTACCGCCAGGAAGAAACTGGGTCCCGAATCACTGCTCTTCGCAACGCAGCCACAACCGCAGGTGAGAGGGTTCTGTTGCTGGGTGGATGAATCGACGCGGTGGTTCTGTGTCATTTCTTGTGCAGGCAATGCGATTGCCCTGCTGCAAACTTCGGTGGAAGCTGGCCCGGCTTTGGACTCAAATTGGATTATATAGAAGGATCCTACAAGTGGTCTGTAAAGCAAAGGTACCAGCGGTTATACTCGGCGCGGAGTTCTTTAATGATTCGACGTCTCATTCTCAGTGATTTTGAAGCACGTTGAAACCATTTCAAACAGAAAATGCTAGGCTGGAGCTGGTCGGCATGGCATTTGAATTTGGGGCTGTCCCAGTTGCCGGGGTGCGCTGCGCTTTGTCCCAATCGGACATTCTTTCCGACCGAATGTTCACAGTGACCTCTGCCAGCCCTTTGATTTTGGGATCAAATGTGACAATATCAAGACTCAGCATCCAAGCAAAGCTTTGCTTTTGCTGAAAACAGACTGCATTCTTCAGATTCAGAGAGACCGAGATACACAAGTTATGATGGTTACAGAATGTCAAGAATTTCCTGCAATGGTGACAGTGGAAGCTGAGCGATCTGCAGAATCACCACTCGACTTGCATGCAGCAGCTTGGAATCTTATGATTCGTCAGATTTGGAAGGCTTGGGTTTTCACGAACCATTACTTGAGTCGTTTTCAAAACCATAAATGGCCATTTACAAACTTTATACAAGGGTGTTTCATTCAAGATTGTGATTGACTTTTCCGTGGAAACGATACGGGACATCCAAAAAAATATCGATTTAGATATCTCAACTTTAGGTGCAAAACGATACCTACACAGGTCCATGTGCAAAACGCTGCAAAACGGAACGGGACGGAGCAACTTTGAATGAATTCACCAAAGAAATCTCGGATTCCTTCCCCCGCTGTCACCAAATTGCAGCTGCATCAACCTTGCACAGCCCTGACAGTGGGGCAACGATCAACAGCTCTGACAGGTTGTGCAGATGCTTGTGTAGGAAGGCACTAAATTTCGCAAAGATCCCGAAAGCTCTGCAAATGTGTCGTTAAAGTCCCGTTTCCAAACTTCCAACAGCCGCCTTACCCAATGTTGGTTTCTGCCACCAGGGTTGGCTCTTAGTCTTGCGTGTAGATCATGTTGCGCGAGGCCGGTCAGTAGGTTTGCTTTTTTTACAGTTCAAATGCACGTTAACTAGACATGTTCTTCAGGATCACGCTTCGCGATGAGACCGCGAAAGATCCGCGTTAGTTTTGTTTCGCCATGAATGGCCACTATAATATTGATCAACCAACATGTGCAAGCACCCTTGGGTGCTAGCTGAGGAAGGATTCACGCATTTGCGCAATTTCTTATTAGATGAAGAGGCCCCAAACGGAATTTTCGTACTACTTGTTGTTTTCTTGCTTTCACCTTTCGTCTGTTCTTGTGTCGTTTCCTTTTTGAGCTTGAACTGTTGGCTTTTGTGTTTCAAGTTTTGCCCCTTCCAGGTGAGATTGCTAGAGGCCTCTGTGGCAGCGGGTCCTAGAGGTGAAACTCTCTCGTCTGGCCGTCCACCAGCTGCGTCTCCGGGGGTGCCCACAGCGTAATGAACATGTCAATTGATTGTGTGCTGTACAAGTCTAACAACCCTAAGACTCTTGAGTGGTTCCGTGTTTCCATGTCAAGGTGCACTGGCATGGATTCCCACGGGCACACTGCTGGCAGCTTGCAAGCATTGGACAATAACAAGCCTGGAAAGTAGATTCAATCTTTTGCCATTGCTACCCAGGCTTCCGGAAACTCAAGATCAGCAAGCTAGTCTCCCCGAGATTTGTTTACCTGCTTTGGACAGGCTTCGCGACCTTGGCACCTTGGAAAAGTATTGAACCGCTGCCTTTCAAACCGTTTCAAACAGTTTCAATCACCAGATGATCAAACAGGGTTTGCAACGTTTATAAAACGTGGCCAAGTGATAGTGTGTGTGCATTGTGAACCGAGGTATTTTGCCACCAGGATATGCTTTTGACCAAGCAATTGTGAATTTTTATGCCGAAGGCGCATAGACTTAGTCAACCCTGACGCATCTGAGAGAGCGGCTCCTTTGCAAGGCTCTGAGGGCATTCGGATGCATGTTGATCGGGCAAACTTTGATGATTCTGGGCATCGGAATCCTTTGCCAAGAGACTGTTCACGTGCACTTCCCTCAAGCCTCAGGTGCATGTGCTTTGTGCATTGACTGAGGATATTATTGTTGGGTTCAGTTTGGGCGCTTCTGCTGTGCTTAGGCTGAGCTGTGTACTTGACTGTCAGACAACTCAAAACTCAATGAAAGACTAGTTTCAACCTGCTACTGATGTCAATAGCGGTGTCAACAACCCTGACAAAGCACTGCACACCTCCAGTGGATTGAAGAGTTTGGGTACTTGTAGGACAATCTCGTGAGCTTGAGGTCATGGACCTGGAGCCTTTGGATACAAGAGGTGAAGTCGTATTCTCAGTGTAGTGTACTGTAAGGCCAATTTGAATTTGAAATGCATCACTGCATCACTTTGTTTACACAATGACACGCTTTTGTGGACACTTCAACCTGTTTCAAGTCATCAGGATTCCTTTGCAAGCCGTTGCCAACATGTGCTGCTGGAGGACGCGCAACCAAGACGAGTGTGGACACAATTATATATTATATATATATTTGTCAGTGTAAATTCCAGACTCTAAATTACTGTTACTGGTTCTTCGCCAGTTACGAAAGTCAGTCCGCCGGGCCACTAGTAGGCTGAACTTCGATATTTGCGAACGAAGAATTTGTGAACGAAGTGAGTTATGGCGGAGCATTACAGGTTGAAGTTTCAGCCTGCGACGCTTTATGCACGATTTTTTAGCGTTTGCATGGAAAGTGTTTCGGTTGGAATGTAAAAGACACTACCTGCCAAAACACAGCATCAAAAACATGCAATCGGCTGCAAGGCAGGCAAGTGGTTCTCCTGCACATGGCACATCGTCAGAATTTCTAAGAGAGCGACCGCGCGCGCGCACACACACACACAAGCATCCTTGACACCCTATACCATTTAAGCAAAGTGCAAATATGTGCTATGCAGTTTAAGTGACTTCGAGAGACCCTAACTTGTGGCATGGCACTGCAGCGGCTCTCCCATCTGACTATATAATTCCCATTCATAGCAATAATGCACGGGCATTTATCAAAGTCCAAATTGCAGTGAAATACGCTCTACAAGCCAGAGCATTCTGTTTATGCATTGGTTGCAAGGAGTACAGTGTCGTCAGCATACTATAGAATATTCATCTATATTCTGTCGAAACTAACGCGAGGTCTTAGCGGCTACAGTCTTAGAGCGCGTCTATCCAATTGACGAGTCACATCACTGTCTATAACACTAATCACTTCATATTTTATTTGAACTGCAAAAGACTTCCTGCTCAGGAGGGATCCGTCTATGTCTTCTCTGGAAATGTACGGTGGAAGTGGAAGCATGGTATCAAGCCGGGACCACATCGGCAGCATTGCAGAATTTGATCGCTGGACCAACATTGTCTTGCTGTGTTACCGAGATGCGTCACTACTTGTCCTTGCTGCGCTGATCAATTCGCCACTTTCAGGTATGGAGAGACAGAGTTGCCCTTGGGCCATCGCATTTCCATAACTTTTCGTCGATTGCGCAGACCTGATCAGAAAGAATCATACGACCTTTGGATGCGTCCGCCAGCAAAAGGGAACCATCCTCCCTGCATTGTGAACGTGCAATCTTGAATAATCAAGTTGAAGACCGTCCACACGTTACACTTTGACCAATTCACAAGCTACCTGCCAAGCAGCACGTGGCCCCTGCTGCAGATTGGAATCCTGTTCATCTTCTACAGTTTGCATTGGTGCTGCTGCCTGCGAAGATGCAAGATTGACCGAAAGGACTCGTTGCACAAACTGCCCACTGCCCACTCAACAATGTGGTGCCTGGTGGACTGTTCTCACTACAGTCATTTTCTTGTGAACATTCTGGGTTTGAGGATGAGCATATTCTGTGCCAGGATCATCCTGCACCTCAATGGGCAGCCTTTGGTTGGCCGGGAACACAGACGGACTTCAAACCATCACACACACAAATACACGCACACAGACACACACACACACACACATGCAAACACCTGCACGTGTCTTTGGACTGGCTCCGTTGTAGGTGTGGAGGCTGCCTTGGTGCTTTTCTGGGAGCTGGGCTGAGCCTTGCAAGCTTTGCAGGAAGCTCAGAGAAAGCTTCTGGCTTGAAACCAAGAGCCAGTGATCAAGAGACGTGGCGATGGATCATCCAAGCCACAAGCAAGGTATTGACAAAATAAACCATCAACCTGGGTGATTTGCTCAAAGGCAAGACATAATACCCACCCTGCACGTGCAGCGTAAGAAGATCACTCCATGGTATTCTCTCTTGATGCCCATGGCTACAAAAGAACATCTATTAATATGGGCAGGAAACGGGTGGCAGCTGGTCCGGGGCCCTCTGTTTTGTGAAGTGCTTAGTCCTCCATTGGCTCCCGATTTGCTTTGTTCCAACGTTACTGAGAAGCAGTTCATGTGGGGTAAAGACATGGCCAGTTTACTGATTTTAGGACCACAGTAAGTACATTGCGCTGGCCATGCTGATGGCCCCTTACATGCCTTGCCACATCTGCTAAGTTTCCCAAAAAATCAAGACACCAAATCATTAAGCGTGAGGTGTAGCCTAAGTTTCCTAGCTTAGTAGCGACTTAACCCACATTCACGGCCTACCACCCTTGGCCCTCAAAGAAGCAAGCTGCGGTTGATCATCCTCAAGCACTTTTTTGAGCAAGCTGCAGTTGGGATTGGGGATTGGCATTGCAGGGTTGAAAGACCTTGAGCTGCAGCAATCAGGATGCAAATATGCGGATGATGCAACACTACTGATGTGTATGATGGTGATGATGATGATGAGGAGGAGGAGGCGGAGGAGGAGGAGGAGGCGGAGGAGGAGGAGGAGACGACTCTGAGTGCACGTCGGACGCTAACTTTCACGAATTTAGACTGTCTCAACGAACAGCATTCCAGAGCCAACAACTGTCCCAAGCACAAAGCTGTTACTACCAATTGATGCCTGCATGCAGTCAGTTCATGTCATCGGGTCACTCTGAAAACGCCTCACCTTCAATATCCCGTCAAATCTTGGCAACATCCGAACTAGTGCTGGTGTTCCTGCGTTTGCATGGGTTCAGGCTACTCTGAAGTGGAAAACGGCTACTATAAATAATTGACCTTTACAGGACTCCTTTGCCTTTGATTGCCTTTGTGTCAACTTTTTTCGGATTTGGAGCGGTCAACGGCAGGCACATGCATTTGTCAGCATGGAGTTGACGACTTAGGCAGAGGAAGGAGTACAGTAAGTGAACAGAGGTGTGTTTTCTTGGGTTGGAGTTTGAGTTCAACTAGTTTGAAAGATCATTCTAAGGATGTGCATCATGATGGAGAGCATGGGAACAACAGAAGGAATCACAAGGTGCCGGTCTCCCTTTGCCACTTCAGGATGCCCAAGACCCCAAGTACGAACTGCATTCTATTGAAGAATAAAGCAAGGAACAAACAGAAGGGAACGGCTCCTTGAAGAAACTATCCCTTCATGTTCTAGGCAGGGATGTATTTTGTAGGCAGAGATTTACTGTTTTGAATTGTATTTTTTAATGGTTTGGAGCAGCCTCACGTGGACCAACATGACATGCAACCAGACAAAATCAAACAGTGGCAGTCGAAGGTACAAATTCCCATATCACATTTGAAGCATTAAAATGCCGGTTGCGATGCATATCAAGATGTCATTTCGAAAGACAATAACTTCTTTGCCTGAAAGCAACGCAGCGGCAGGTTTGTTTTCCTTGGGCTTGATGGAAGCTCTGCAGAGGTGGTTTGAGCATGATTTGAAATCCAAACCTTGCTCAAGTCTCTGTGATTCTGGCAAGCCTCCTCATTTGGAGGCTGTGGCTGCGAGGTCGGCATCTCTGGTGAATGCCTGAGTAATCCAAAGAATTGAGGAATCTAAAGGCTTTCCAGGATTGATGTTCATGAGTATTGCATTGAGGCTTGCACAGGTGATGTGACAGGTGGACGAGATTTGTATCCTCTGCTGGGGTTTTGCACCCAGATTTGTGGTTGTCCACTAAGCCTTTATTTATTTGCAACTCTGATGTCCTGAGAGTCCTGACACTCCGCTAGGCTGTCTGTGCCAGTCCAGGGACTTTCGACAATGCAAACAGAATTGGCCAATGTTTTGAGCATGGACTTCTCCACCATCCTCGCCGAGTACTCGCTTTGTGTTACTTCTTTCTCACGTTTGCTTCTTGGCCATGATTTCTCATGTTTCTTTGCTTTCGCTCCGTCCTCTTTTGTGATAGGTACCAGACATTGAGCAACCAGGCGGCTGTACCACAAACAGATGCACCAGCAGATCCCTCAGCGGCGGCCAGGGCCTCAACCAGCTCCAACTGTGAATTGGACAACCATGCCAGCTCAGCGCACTTGTGCATTCTCAAAACGTAAAACTGCTAGGCCTACACCTGCTACACTTGGGTGAGTGCATCGCAGGCTGCAAAAGTTGTCTTTTTATTTCAGCTTTTCATATTTTTCAGCTTGGGTGAGTGCGCCTTGAACCACAGGCACCCTCGAGCTCCTCTTGTGATTGGCCGACGTGTGGCTCCGAACCACAAACCCTATCAAACTGTTCATTTCAGAAACCTGAAAGTCAATTTTCAGAATGTGAGGGATGCTTGATTTAAGGCTTTTTGACCTGATCCTTCATACCACTTCCCAAGGTTTCAGACGAATATGCAGACCTTGGTTCAGCTTGCCTTTCAAACAGGGTGCGATGGATTGGCTGTGCAGCTTTGTTTGCGACAGCAGGGCCCACAGCAACCTGTTGAGATGCTGAGAATTGCAGGCAAGATATCTCGAATGAGCTTCCAGTACTCAGGCCAGTGCGCAGTGCGCTGGTTGGATAGCTACAGTATAGGAAACGCTTACCAAGCCTTCGGCAGGTAGGACATTCAAACTCAGGAGTAGCGGTTGATGCTGCAACATGCTCAAAGTGACTAGACGTTAGGAAGACATTGAAGCACAGTCTTTTGCAACTGCTCAGTCAATCTGGTGGCGCTTGGGACAACATGCAGGCGGAGCTACAGGCTCTTTCGGCCCATCAATGAGCACATAGACCTCTGAACTATTCTGAACTTGTATGCACTTGCTATACCAATTGATTGTCAACAGTTTTGCCTTTGCTCAGTGAGCACACTTGTGGTGATGTCCACCAGCTTTCTGGAAACGGTGCAAGGCTGTTGTAAGTCTTCAAAGTCTTGCTGACCTTCAATCTGGCCTGGACTGTCAGCAGGCACGAGCCATAGAAAGTGCCAAGCTTAGCCCAGCTGCTTTTGATTCCCAGGTCTTTGATGACTGGCAAGTCGCACAGGACCAGGCGATGTTTTGATCAAGCCAATTGGACAGCTCTCATGGATCATGGGTGACACCTTAGAATTCTTTTTGAGGTTTGTGGTGGCCTCGCGACAAAGAACTCGGATATTGGATTTGGTTGGATGCTTGCTGGAGCACGGATCCCAAATAGTTTAGACAGAACATGCTATGCTTGGCTCATGATTTTTGGGTTCAGGCTTGTGGTTTTCTTGGTGCCCTGGGCCAATATTGGTGTGGCCCTTGGGACTTTAGAACGTCTGGAGTTTAAGCGAAGCATTTGGAAAAGACAAGGATTTGGCGGCTTCTGAAAGACAATCGCTGTCTCTACCTGGACGAGCATGAAGACTTGAAGCCCAAAGGCCAAGTCAGCTTGCAAACGGTCACGAACGTTGAAGTGACTCCGTCTTACTTTGGAGTTGGAGGTTGCCGAAGGCTTTTCTGCTGCCTTTGTGCGACCTCGTTGGGTGATGACAATGATGAAGGTGCCCAGATCTTGACAGCGCTTTCAAAGCATTTCGTTTTCTTGTCACCAGGAAAACCAGATGTAGAGTGTGTCTCTTAGCTTCCCAGATCGGAATACCAAAGCACCACAGGTTGCCTGTTGAAAACTAAAGTCTGAGCTGAGGGAGCCGGTGAGTCTGAGCCCAAGTTTAGGCTTTTTCAAGCAACGAGATGCGCCGATTCGCCAGCGCCTCAACTTCCAGGCAACGAGCCCAGTTCGCAACCTGGCTCTAAGAAAGGAGGCCCGTTTCAAGCTGACCATACAACATTCAAGCGATTTAAAGCCATTTTGTAGAGCGCTTTCGTCTTTTTGGAAGATCTTCGCTAGCAGAATCTGCTAGGTGCCAAAACCAGCGTGGCTTCCCAACGGATCGTCGAGCGCTTCTTAGAGGCCGCTGAGAGTTGGCGCCAGTGCACTTGGTGCATTGGAGACCTGGGGCCATACCGGAACCCCGTAGCACACCGTAGCACTGAAAAGCCAAAACGACACAAGGAAACCCTAAACCCTAAACCCTTTCAGTGGTGTGTGCCGGAAAGACCAAGCTGGGGAAAGCAACTTCTAGCGTTGTGCTTTCGTATGTTTGCAGACCCCGGATGCAGCGATTGAGAATAATGTGGGAACCTTCCTCGACAATGAGCCACTTGGCAATGAAGCTCACATGCAGCGACCAAGACCACGTTTGCGGAATTTGTGAGAGGAACGCCAAGAATATTGGCATCTGGATCAAAAGATATAAACTGTGAAGGATCAAAACAACACATCCAGTCTTCGAGTCTAGTGGTCCCCTAAGGCCCTTGGTCTCCTGGTTCGCTGGTCCCCTGGTCCTTCGGTCTCCTGGACTCGCTCTTTGGTCCAAAGGGAAGGTCCCCTGGTCCATTGGTCCCCTGCTCCTTTGGTCCCTGGTTCTTTGGTCCTGTGGTCCTTTCATCCCCTGTCCTTTGGGGCCGCCCTAGTCATTTGGTCCCGTGGTCCCTTTCCTGGTCTGCTGGCCTCGTGGTCCATTGGTCAATGTTGGTCAAAAACACGAGGTTTGCGAAAGCAAAGCGCTACCCGGTTGCCTTGGTCCTTGCGTCACTTTTTGAGTGCCCTTCATTGATGAGGCAATGGGGTGTGTAGTTTTCGATGATGATCTATTGATCTATTTTGTGGCCTTTTAAGTCTGATGGCTTTTCATGTTTGGTTCCTTCTGGGGGGGAGGCGCCCAACCCCTCTCCAGCGCCACTACTTTTGCCAATGAGCTGGCTGGGCCTACCACGGCAGATGTTTTGTAGCACAAAAAAGCCTTGTGCGAAGGGACACGACAGTTGAGCGAACGAAGGTCGAGGCTGAACTTTTTTCACTCAAGACGCTCACAGCTCCAGACACACCGGGAAGGTGTCGCCTGTGAGTAGAGGGCTCATGTGAGAGAGCGAGAGACCGTGTCATAAAGGTCACCCACGCACCCATCGCTCTCACAAAATAGTGCGCGCACTCGCCTAAGCCTTTTTGATTTTGTGTTGCACGTGGCTGCCAGCATCCTTTCACTGTCCTGTGGTGGATGGGCCCCTTGTTGATTGGGCAATACGGTGTGTAGTTTTCGATGATGATGTATTTTGTGGTGCTTCCAGCGTTTGGTGGCTTTGTAGTTTGCAGCCCCGCTTCGGCGCCACGAAATCTGCACGACTTTGGCCAATTCCCTGGGCTGCCACGACCGACTTTAAAGGTCCCTCCATTGAATATCCACACAGCAGGTGTTGCACACCCTCGCCAATTTTTTTTGTGTTTTGTTGCGGTCGCAGTCATCCTTTCATGGTCCTTTGGTCGCCCGCCCTGCTGTTGTTGTCCTTTCCCTAGTCTTCTTCTCCTTTCATTGCTCACTGGGAATAAGTTGTTCGATCCCCTTTATATTTTTGATCCCCGTCGATTTTTGTTTATTGATGCTGTACTTGTTTTGTTTTGATCCCTCACCCAAGAGTATTGTACAGCTAGAGCAGCTAGCGGGAGGGAGAGTATGATGAGACTTGCATCATCATGCGTTTTTCAAGTTGCGTCAGTGCCACTGTTTCATTTGACGATGGGTTATCACTCCGTGATGGGCCATGACAATCGTTGTGCACCGACCGGTGACCAATGGGCATTGCGAAGCAGAGAAGCCAAGTGACGTCGATGCAGTCTAGGAGGTGCGCACATGATTGGATAGACTCTTGTGAGGCTTTGCGAATATGTATCCTTGTTGTTTTGCCGGGGTGATGAGACATCCAACCAGGGCGCCTATGGTGGGATTGTTTCCAGAGTCCTCGGAGCAAAGGATTTCGAAGTGGTTTCCAGGGCAGATTTTGCCTTTGGCTTCAGTAACAAGTGCCTTACTAGTAGTAACAAGAAGCTTCATTACTGGGACCTCTGGAGGTGTGTAAGTGTGTGTTTGTGCCTTGCGAAGAGTTTCTCCAAAAACTGATAGAATCTGATAGATCGAATTCCATTCTTGTCAAGATCCCATTAGCGTCTCGGTGTAATACCTTTGGCATGTTACTCAAATTTGGTTCAGCTTTGCATAGCTACTGAGGATCTTTCCCGCGTATGATCCGGTGTTCACCACCATGGCAGTGCCATCCTCGCTGGAGTGCAGCTTTTGAAGAGTTGGCATGCATTCTTTGTGTTCATCCCGACTCTATTGCATTACAAAACTTGGCAGTGGAGCCAGATGTGGAGTATATATATATATAATTGCAAGGAGCATTTGTTACACACCTTGGTGATCCTTGGTGCACGTACTTGACAAGGTCGTCTCATCCTCTATCCATTTCATAACCATCTACTGGCACATATTGAGGTCCCTTTTTGCTGGTCGCACTTTGCCCTAACTTACCATACTTACGGACCTACGTATGACAAATTCATACTACTTCTTTTGAGGACTTTTTTTGTTGAGATGTGCAAGGTGCTCAAAATGGACACATGGCTGGCTTTTCGCGACCTCGAAACATCAATGTACTTGATCGCTGCACATGTGTCCAGCTCCGCAATCCACCATCCAACCCTGAGCGCGTATCCTTGCTGTCGTGGAGGGTGCTTCTCAAAACCATGCGTTGCTGCTACGTACAGGCAGCTTCAATGAACTAAACTTGTGCTGTGATGCTTGAGATGCCTTTAGTTTTACTTGCACCATTCGCATCAACAATATGCAAATCATATTACCAAATACTACAAGCCTTCCAGTGTTCGGAATCTGCACTGTAGTCGATCACTTCCAACCTGAGGTGGGTGAGCGTGTGGCATCGTGGAAAGCGTGTGTTCCCAAGTGTCGACATGTTTCGGTCGCAGCGTCTTGACCGCGAATGAAATTAGGCTTGAAAAGGAGAAGCAAAGCCGAGGAGGGACCGGAAGCAGTCTGCCCGACACAGTGGATGTCAAAGTGGAACGTGAAAGTCGGCCACGTGAGGAATTGCAATGCGAGGAGTTTTTGATTCCAATTAAATAAATAGCTTCTTGTTACTAGTAGTAAGGCATTTGTTACTAGGAGCGATGCACTTGTTCCTAGTAGCTTTTTTATGAACAAAAATTGCAGGTCTGTTTTGCCGTGAACAGGCGATGCTGAAGTACCAGATCCTGGGGAAGCACCCACAGATCCAGCTTCCTTGCTGGCAGCACCTGGCTCAGTGTGGTGTGAATGCCACATGCTCAGTGCCATCTTGTGAGGACTACGGAGAATGTGGTGCGGATGGCGTCCCACTCTTACTCAATGTATTCATAAAAACACAAATCTTCCAGACTCCATGACAGGTTCCCATTGTTGATGCAGATGGTGAGAGCTTGGACAAGAAGACAAGGGCAAGATTGAAGAAGGACATCGCCAGTAGCCGCAGTGCATTGCCCAATTTGAGATTGGCACTGGGCACCGTTTGCTTCAGGACCTTGCCCTTTTGCAGAAGCCGTTTGGGACCTTTCTTTTCCAAGCCGAGAAACCTTTTGCACATGAATGAATGAACCAAGGTGGGAGAAGTGGCAGAAAGAAAAAGCCAAGTACGATGCGTACTTGCTTTCCAAGATACGTAAGAACTGCCTGGAACAATTTGCAGAGGTGCAGTACACTGCCGGAGCCTCAAGAACCTGAGAGGAGCATTTGCCGGCTTCTATGCATTCCCAGGAGGACGTGGAACACCTGCGACCTTTGTCTCCAACTTCAAGGCAATCTTGTTGGCGAAGAAAGTCTTGAAGTCGGAACAATTTTGAACGTGGGTGCAGTGCTGTGCTCTATTTTTTTGATTTTTGAGCAGCTTTGGATAGCTTTGGCAATTGCCCCGATTTATGGCGTGCTCTTGCTTAGCCATTGGTGGCTCGCAGTCGCACTAAGCAAAGTGGCTGCTGAAACGATCAATTTCCAAGGTCGAAGGTCAACTCCACATTGACAGTTTGTTTGTGCGGGGGCACAGGTATGGTAGTTTACGCAAGTGCCAAGAGAGAATATCAAAAAGAATCAAGCAAACAAGCTTCAGACTCAACAGAGTAATCTACAACTCTGCCCAATCGTTTCGGGCGTGGAACGCATGGCTACTGTGTGATGCGGCCATCCGGAGGCATGAGCGGTGGAGCTTGGCTCCCACCTCAGCAGCGGCAAGACCGTCAAGTTGTTGAAGAGACTTTAAGGCGTCACAAGGCGACTCGCTTGGTGAATGCCTGCACAGAGGATGCAAGCAGAGTACAGGAGCTCCTATCAGAGAGAGCAGATCCAAACATGGCAGATGTTCAGTCTCGATGGCCTTTGACACAAGCCGCATTTGCGGGGGACTCCCGAGTGGTATCCGTTTTGTTGGAGGCTCGAGCCGACCCCAATCTGCCTTCAGAGGGTGATCGAGCCATACATTTTTCTGCTTGGCAAGGTGACAAGACTGTGACAGGTTTGCTGTTGAGGTCGTCAGCAGATGTCGAGGCCACCGACTCCAATGGCTGCACGCCTCTCTGTGGAGCTGCTCTCAAGGGTCATGTTGCCGTGGTGGAGCTCTTGTTGGCCAATGGTGCTGACCCGTCTCGACAAGTGAATGTCAATGGGCATGGGAGCTTGACACCATTGAAAGCTGCACAAGAAGGCCGTTTCGTGAAGGTTGTGGAGGTCTTGAAAGAGGCAGTTGCTTCCCTTCCTCAGCCACGTCGGAACTCCTTCACAATCCCAGTGCCATCGCCTCTCGTGAAGAGCCGTTCACAATTGACCACCTCTGGCAAGAACTCACCTGACAGTCTTGCAAGTCGCTCGAGTGGCCGGAATGCATCCATGGTGTCTACCCTCTCGAACTGCCTTGCCAAGTGTCGTGGTGTTTGCCAATGCTGCTAGTGCAACAACGGCATCCCAAGAAAATCAACTCTCCGGTTTCATCGGGCATTTGCCTGCCTGCATAGGGCTGGCAAGCTCAGGCAAACTTGGACGAAGTATATAGAAGCTAGATGAAGCTAGTAGAAATGCTCAGGCTTTAAGTTGTGTATGTACCTAAATAAATAAATACATAAATATATATATATATATATTATATATGTATTACGTATAGTGTATACATAATTAGCTAGTCAATATCATGCTTTGCCAGGCACATTTTGTTGTTTGCTTTGGTGTCAATGGCTTGCCACTTTTTCAGAGCTTCGTCCATTTGTTAGCAATCGCTTAGTGGATCAACAAGATCAGTGTTGTAACACTATCATCGGGTGAAGCAGTGAACGAGTGCAGGGTTGCTGTATTGGATGGCTGAAGCATGCTGCAGCTTCAAGTTTTGAAACTCCTTTGAAGACTTTGTTATACTTTGCTAAAGCAAGAAAACCTGACGATCGGCGCCAACTGCAGGGAACCTTTGGTGGTCGTTGTCCAAGAAGTGCCGGAAGACACCACGAGAGCTGTTTGGTCTGACGAGTGGGTGCCTCAGATCACTTGGGACTTTGGCCTTCGCGCGCCCGGTGATCTGGGCGCTTTATTGCTTTCGTTTTATGTCGTTTTGAACAAAGAGCATCAAACTACAATTATACAGACAAATGAAAAGAGCCACCCCAACCCTCTTAAGTCTCTTCAGCAGCAAACAAAGCCAAGTCAAGTTTGATTTGGAGGTAGCTCCGTGTGTAGCTTCTTCATGGAAACAAGGCTTTGTTGTGCTCTGAGGATTGCGCAAGTCGCAGCCGACAGATTGGACCCCAAAGTTCGTAAGGACGGCGGAGCGACGGCAGTGCTGCTTATGGTCATGCTTCCACAGTTGCTCAAGCTGGTATCCTACGAGCTCTATATACGCAAGAAATGCAAACTTACTTTCCTGTATATAGATGTAGATGTAATTAGATGCTTTGGTTTTGTTTGGACCCAGGAGAAGAATGTGATCAAGAAGCTGAAAGGAATAGAGGACCTTATATAATTTGTTTCACATTTGGAGACTGCCCCTCTTGGTGCCTTGAATCCCTCCTTAAATCCAGCCAGCTTACCCAAATTGCCTACTAAAATTCAGCATCCAGGCGAAGTGCTTCGGATCCTTTGAAGTACAGCAACCGCTTATGAACAAACTAAGGGTTGCGAGCTCAGAATGCTTCCTGATGCCTGAAGAACAAGTCCCAGATCCAAAACCCTTTAAGACATGTTCTTTCTATAAGGACACAGAAAATGGGTCTAAAAGAAGGAGAAGAGAGAGCACAATGAACAGAGACAGGTCCAAAGGAAATGCTTAGCAACGGTTGGTTAAGTCTAATACCTAAACCTAGTTGAACGAGTTCTTATTTGGAAGCACGTAGTGTTGTGTTCGCCAGAGCTCATTTCAAAAGCAAAAGGAGACCCAAAGAGCAAAAGACAATGCGATACACCAAGCAAAAGAGCAAAATACAATTCGGAATTGCAAAATCTAACTAGTAACAAAGGGCATCGCTGCTAGTAGCAAGGACGCTACTAGTAGCTCCTGGCATTTCTACTAGTAGCAAGAAGCTACTAGTAGCGATCCCTCCAATCCTTCAAAGGTGTTGACCCAAAGCAGGACTTCTGCACTTCCCGTTGCAGTGCTTGTTGTTGTTGTTGTGGTGGTGGTGGTGGTGGTGGTCGTTGGTTGCTTGTATTCTCTCGTGCATGTGTTATTTTTCAATTTCCCACACCACTTTGCGCCACAAACAAGGCAACGAACATCACAAACATGCAGGGCTTCACCCGAGCTGCAATAAGAGCACGAACGAAGTGGGACCAGTCACCAGTGCCGGAAAAAGCAGCCGGGCTGGCCACTACCCAGGCTGCACGACAAAGATCCGTTCAACAGTGAATGTGACTTTTTAACCAATGTGCGAACAATCCGAACGCGTATATAAAAGAAGAGGCCATCGCTATGAGGTTGGAGGCCATGGCTCTTAGGTTGGAGGCTGGAGGCCATCGCTAGTAGCTTCGTCAGTTTCCCTCAGCAAAGCTGCTTTGCGGGGCTCATCAGGCGACGACAAGTCCACGATGTTCTTTTGCGGAAACTTCTCTCGGACAAACACAACCTACTTTTGCTTGTATTGTTGCTTGTTTGGTTTTGTCTTTCATTTTGCCCTTGTCTTTAAGGGTACAACTTTTTAACCGAATGTGTAGCCAAGGCTTTTGTTTTGACTCTCGGGCTCTAGGGGTAGAGCCGTGTTCTGATGTTGATCTGGTGTTCGCAAGGGTCGTGAACCGTTTGTATGATGGGGCTATGGTCAATGTGAAATAGTGGCGTGATCTTGCTATACAGGTGCAGAGTTTTGTGAAGTGGACACTGTGCGTCGCTGTGCCATTGGGAGTGGCGTTCTGAGTTGTTTTATTTTTTAGGTGTTAGATGTTACCGTGCCATTGCGGTTTGCTCTTGAACGGTTTGCTTCGAAGGTGTGTTTTCATGACAAGTCTCAGCCATTGCGAGCAAAGTGTCGAGACCACTCCAATGGTGTTGTGCAAGTGCTAGAAATGTCAAGGTGTGGTGTAGTCGGCGTAGTGCTTTGTGCGTGTTGGAGATGTTGGGAAGCAGTGTGCGTGGCAGCCGGAGGGAATTGGCTCCCCATTTGGATCCATGATGCCACAAAGAAGTACCCACAAACTCACGTGTATGACTTACCAGAGGCCAGAATTCAGCCACCAGGCTGAAGTTTAAAACAAGCGGTGAATCTTCGTGAAATAGTTCGCTTCCTGAAAGGAACTGAGATGTACCCGACGTACAAGAAGACGAATGCATCATCACTCGTTTGACTAGGTTTTCGCCGAAGCCTGGTCAGCCAAACCTCAGATCCCTAATCAGGATGTGTTCGCCATTGAAACTGAGAAGTACGCTCAAATTGGTGGGCAAACATATCCATTCATTCAACGTTCACCTCCGATTTCTGCGTACGAGTGTACGAACATGTCTTATGCTGAATGTAAAGTTTAGCAATGCAAAGTTAAGAAGCACGGGTAAGTGACTAGATACGCTTGACTTACCACCTTGTTACCATGGTTGCATTTTGCAGACCTCACGCGAAGAAGGCTTGCATGTAAAATTCGAGAAGCGCGTCCCACAGGAGTGTCTCGCAAGAGTCCGCAAGAGTGTCAAGAGTGTTCGACAAAAGCACATCAAGCGAGGGTCTCACGAGAGTGTTGCGGAAGGGCGTCCGGCAGCTCAACAAAATTGTTGGAGAATGGTCGCACAGTGTCAGCAAGAATGCCACGCAAGAGTGTTGCAAAGTGCACATTAGAGTGTCAAGCAAGATTTTCCCACAAAATTCTACTGGAAAAGTGTCGCGCAAGAGATCCCACAAAAACGTCGCACAGGAATTTTAAGCAAAAGTGTCGCACAAGAGTGGCTTCAAGAGTTTCGCACAAGAGTGCCCTATAAGGGCGTCGCCCCACAAGGGTGCCCGACAAGAGTTTCACGTAAGAGTGTCGTAGAAGAGTGTTCTTCAATTGTGTCTTAGAAGAGTGTCAAGCAAAAGTGACTCACAAAAGTGCTCTGCAGGTGTGGTGTAGTAGATAGTCTGAGATATTATTTTTTGCATTCAAGTTGGTGGGTTTCATGTTGACATATTGTTTTCAAGATAAGTACAGTATGTTCTAGCTTCTAGAACATACGGATTTGCAAACAGAAGTGGTGGCATCACAAAGCATTGCATGTAAATAGCAGCATTTTCGTCATTTTCTCTCCTAATGGCGCTTCAGGGGCTTGGCGATGATCCGGCCGTTTGGGATGGCGTCAAGATTGGTGCGCCCAAACCAGAGTCTCAGTTTTCTGTCGTACGTAAAAATGTGCATACTGTGCCTTTGTCAGAAAAGAGTTCGAAGATGAAGTTTCCCAAAGAGCCACAAGAACCAAAAGGCGCAGAAAATCCGCATGCTGCATGCCGTCAGCTTGGTTTGAATAAATTCAGCATGTAAGTATGTGATGACTCAGGTTTAGTGGACCCTGGAGACCTTTTCAAAAGTGGAAAACATGAAGGAAAGTATAGTGATTTCGACAGCAAAGGGGTCCCAACAAAGATGGAAGATGGCTCAGAGATCGATGAAAAGAAAAAGGCATCATTGCAAAAAGAATCTGACGCAGCTAGGAAGAAATGGGATGCACATCAAGCAGCAGTGGCCAAGTATCACCGAGACCTGGAACTGTTCGAGAAGCAACAGGATGGAGAGGAAGGGGTTCCGGAGAAACAAAAAACTGCTGCATGCGAGGCCGCTGCAGTTGGCATTTTGCGCAAGCTTGTGGATAAAGTCATATCGAAGCATGCAGTGGACTTAGCCAGTGAGATTAATCAAGGTTCCAGGGATCCCGACGAGCTTGCCTCTTTGGTTGTCAAGGTGTCGCTTGAGCATGAAGACAAAACTACGGATCCCATACTGAAAGCATTGAAAACAGTCGACAAGAAGAAGCGCAGTGGGAAAACGCAAATTGAAGAATTGCCAGAAGTGTTTAGGCTGCTGAAAGAGGACGAGTTGCAAGTTGGAAGCCACGTGTGTTTCGGAGATATCACTGAAGACGAGATCAACTTCATAACAGGCTGCCTGGAGGGCCATGATGATGGCATAGGTCATGAGGATTTGAAGGCTTTCCTGGAGAATCAAGACTTGGAGGTGATAGATGGAAAGGCCACTACATTAGCCGGTTGTTTGGTTGCCATGCGTTTGGAGAGCTTCCAGACTGACCGTGGTGTGGAGCGATTGATGAGCCCTAGAACATGGCGAATTCAGCTTGGTACAAGTCTTCCAGCTGAGAGCGCAGCTGAATCAAATCAGGAGCCAGCTCAAGCAAACCATGGTGCAAAAGAAACTGACGAAACCAAAGGGGCCGATGAAGCGAAAGAAGGTCAAGAAAAAGGAGTGACGGAAAAGAAGGACAAAAAGGAGAAGAAGGAGAAGAAAGACAAGAAAGAAAAGAAAGACAAAAAATGAGGTCGTTGCTCAATCCAAAGTGATTGGCAGGTGGCCGGGCGGTAGGCTGCCTGTGCAGCTGCACTCTGCAGGTGTATACCTTGGATGTCTTGCCGGGTATTGTGGTAAACTAGACCCTAGTAGTGGCATCTCAGGAGCTTGATTCTTCCATCCTACAAAGGTCCTCAGCTGTTGTCCTTCAAGCTACCATCACCTGAGGCTGTGCATGAAATGCAGCTGGCCATTTCTTGGAGGGGCAGGTTTCATAATATCTTGCCTATTTTTGCATCCATGCTTTGCATCCATGGGCATCTTGCAAAGTCAATCAGGATGCTTTGGCTGATAATGCACGTGGACCAGTGTCATCCAGTGTCCAACAGTCCGAAGGAGAATACAGCAATTGGTAATTGTGTCTTGATCACCAAACTGGTGAACTGCAGTCAAAGCTCTTGGCTGTCTTGGCGCTGTGGCTTTTGTCGGATCTTCTGCGTACGACTATTACACAACTGTATCATGTGATGTACTTTGGGCCGCTTCCTCTGTTTGCCGTGTCTGTCATGTGAAGGCTCAAGGAGTAGCCTTTGGAGCAGATGCTGACGGCAACCGCTCCCAATACCATTAATACCGGTTCACCGGGCTCATCTATATCGGCCCTGTGGACACCTGGGGACCTGAACTCAGGATTTTCGCATTCGTCACAAGGTCTCTCAAGAAGCCTCTAGTAGCGTCCTTGCTCCTAGTAGTGATGCCAGGAGCCCCTAATAGCTTCTTCCTAGTAGTAAGGCCAGGAGCCCGTAGCGTCCTTGCTCCTAGGATGGGAAACTCTTCTCTCCGCGGAGGATCGCTGAGTTTCCTGTCGGTCCAGTCCTCTTTGCCTGTCATTCGCTGTGCAATGCCAATTTTTCATATCGGGAATAGAGTGGTACCTCTTGAGAGGCACAATGCTATTCTCTTGCAGTGCTGAGTGTAGGTGCGGTGTCCAATCCGGATCCAACAAAGTATCACATTGTCCAGGGTCCACTATGTGGATAGCACTTGCAGGTTCAACTTAGTTGTTGCACCGAAGGTACAAACTTTCATCCTCTGGCATCAAACACCATGGGGGTTTCCCAAAGTAGCCTCAGCATGTTCGAGCTCCGTGCAGGCAAAAGCTGCTGCAATAATCATGGCTAACCCCCTAAGCAGTGTGGATGCATTGGGAGACATTGGGAGAAATACCACAGGCTATGCACCAAGCGACAGTCGGCGAGTCTGTGTGGAGACCTGAGCAGCACCAAGCGACATTGGAAGACGTGAGACAGCCAACCATCACCTTAACGCATTAGTTCCTAAGATGTCTAGACATCTTCCCATAGATATTTGGTATTTTGTGTCTCATACTAAGTCTCGAAGATCTACTGTAACTCCGTTTCTGTTCTCGAGGCAGAGAAAATCTTGGATGCACTGAGTCAGCGGGCCCTGCATCACCTGAGAGGTGTGTGAAGATCAGTCAAGCTCAAGAGGCTCTAGGTGTACTGTGTAGCCAGGCGTAGCTATTTAGCCTGCCGACATGGCAACCATGTATGACCTTTTGCGAGGCATAAGATCCTCAAAGAGATCAAGATGGCTGGCAAATGTTACACAGATGAGAATGATGAGGCGAGGTCCCTTGTGGTTCCTTGTGGTACCTTTGAAAAGAGAAATGGCGTGAAATGGGGCACCCAGCAAGGCACCCGACATTGATGGCGGCAGGCTGATAGAGCCTTGGCGTTCTTGCCATAAATGGCACCTTCGTGTTGTAGTAAAGCAGGGTGGAAATACCACCTTTCAGTCACCTTGCACACCTCGATGTGAGCATCAAAAACGAAGCAGCGTTGGCAAAGCTCTATTTGCATGTGATGGATCCTGTGACTCGGTTCTCAAGAGTCCAGGGTCCCTCTGAGTCCCTTTAATCAATATTTTTGAGAACAAGAAACCACTATATAAGAGGCGTCAGGCTTCAGGTCTAAGACTAAGACTAAGACTCAAAACGCCTTGTATTCCATGTTATTCCCCGGATAGCGTGAGTTATTTGGGGTTCTTACTTCAAGTATAGGAAGAGGTGCTGCCACCAGATGTGTGGCCGTGTTCGCTTTGGAGCTGAAGTGCTGGTGCTGCTGCATGGTGCCGCTGTCAAATGCGTGGCCGCGTGCAGGGTACTGCGGGGTGTCGCTGCCAGATGTGTGGCAGTGTGCGCTTTGGAGCTTGGGTGCTAGTGCTGGTGCTGCTGCGTGTGCTTTGGAGCTTGGGCGCTGCTGCCGCTGGTGGGTGCCGCTGCTAGATGTCTGGCTGTGCGCTTTGGAGCTTGGGTGCTGGTGCCACTGCTGGGTGCTGCTGCCAGATGTGTGGCTGTGTGGCTTTTGAATTTGGGTGCTGCCGCTGCGCCAGGGCCCCGCTGCCGTGGTGCCGCCACAAACATTTTTCGCTATGTGGGGTCAATGCTGGGGTAATCCGGACAGACTTTCGAGGCGAATCCGGACCTCAGCTCTCGATGCTCCAGCTGCTTCCATGGTAATTGCCTCAGAATATGACGTCCTCAGATGCTTCCCAGCATTTATCTCTCATGTTGTCCAGCTCAGGCTTTCGCAAGCCCAGTATTGGCATTGAAGACTACCTCATGCGATTGAGGGACTATTTTATGTGCAGTGACTCTTGCTTCCTTCTTGCCCTTGTCTACATCAGCCGCTTTTTGGACTTCTGCCCAGATTTTGCACCTCAGCGACTCAATGTTGGACATATTTTTGTGATTTCAAGACCAGCAGCGCTCTCATGGAGGCCAAGCAGACATACTGTAATGGGTTCGTATTTCCAACAGTCCTTGTTTGTCAGGAAGATTAGATCACTTGCGAGCGTATGTAGGAGTTGATCTAAAAGTGCGTGTAAGGCTTTTATATATACAAAATGATTTGTTTGATGTTGTCCAAACCATCTGCAAAAGATCCACGACGAGGTTCGCAAAAGTATTTTTTCATGTGTTGCCGCACAAAATTATCCATTGTCATCATCTTCACGTAGAAGCGGAAGGCAATTCTCTAGCTGGGCCGGTGGGCGGAAGTGTCCCCACATGCCCCCACCGCCACAGACTAACGAAATGAAACCTCATCGTTTCCTTGCCCAGCCCTCACAGTGCATAAAGGATTATCCGATTCCTGTTCCCATTGTCAGTCACATACTAACAAACTTGCCCTTGCGAAGCCCTGACGGTGCGTACAGGATTGCCCTTCCCAACTCACAACCGCAGCTTTGACAGATTGTGCAGATGTTTGTGCATGATGTGCATTTTCGGGGAAATTTGTGAATTTTCGCGACAGGTCCGCAAAAGTTCCGCGAATGTGCTGTTAAAGTCCTGGCTCGAAGCTTGAACCCCCCCCCACATTCCCCGAACTGCATTACTCTGTGTTGGTAGCTGGCACGAGGGTTGGGTTGAGCTGCGCCTGACTCTAATTCTAAGCCTCCTCCAGGACATTCCTCAAGGTTTGTCGCGCAGACGCTCCAAGAGACCCTAGGGTAGCTGATGGTAGACATGGTTTAGGACCATGCTTCGCGATGAGGCCACGAAAAACCCACGAAAAAAAAAATCATTTTTCATCTTTTTTCCGCGATGAATGGCCAGGGCCATTCCATCATGAACTCTTGATCAACCACCATGTGTTTAGCAAAATGGCAGTGTTGCAGTTTTTGACAAGCAGCTTTGTTGCTGTCGGCACAATCATGCAGGGCCAGTTCTGTGGCTTGCAGCTTGTTTCAGTTTTGAACCCTTTTCGGATTTTGTGTTCCTCTCTCTGTCTGACTTTGTCCGACTTTGTTTAGTGGCTCTGGGGTGGGCCAGTGGGCCTCGCCTTCTCATGTGGCTCATTTCTGGGAAAGGTGACTCTTTAACAGGGTTGGCATTCCGAAGAACCTGCTGAAACGAATGCCTATTGACTAAGAGCGACAAGTTTATACTTTGTACATGTGACATGGGATGATATGGATGCAATATTGTGTGCCTGTATATACTGTACATCTCTATGCTTCGATTTTACAACTATGGCCTCGAATGGCTCTGTGTTTGGAGTGCATTCACTATCGCACTATGGTCTCATCAGCCATGGCAGCCATGGCATTTGAAATGTACTGTGAACATTTGTGAACTATCAAACATTTGCAATGTACTGAAAGACAATAATTTTTTGTACTGCTTATTACTGCTTACTGTTTTCTTCAGTTTTTTCTATGTCCAGTTTCAGGTTGTGAATGCTTTTTCGATACATCGGCTCTTGGCGACCAGCTTGGTCGTAAGCGTCAAGTTCCATGAAGATGTCATTTACAGTGCCTCGTATGAAGATGATGTATGTGTTATCAGGTATCACGGTATCACGGTTATACATGTATTATTTAGCATAGACTTTGTTGAGCATAATCTCTCTTGACTCTTGGTCTCTCCGATTATACTTCTTGCCTCGCCGGTTTCTGCTGCTTTTGATGAGTTGTTTTGTTTGATCACTTGTGCACGCTTCATGCGCAGGTAATACTTTCTATGCAAAGGTTTGCGGCTTGCGACAGGAGGAGCTGAACCGAGGAGAACTGGAATTCCTCAAGATGCCCCTCGGCTTGCATTCTCACTCTTGTGAAACTGCACAGTTTTGCAGGGCCTTCAATGGGTCGATTGCCCACAGGTCCACATTCCGCCCAAGGAGCATACAGAACATACATCATATGGAATTTGATGTATCCAACGTCCATGTATATAAGGTGTTCCAGCATACGTCGTGCTGTCTAGTACGGCTTGAAGTGCCACGAGCTGTCGCTCAGGATCAAGTGGGACTGCGGAGTTTCACAGGATGTGAACTCGCTGTACCATGAGGCCAGTGAAGATTGTACAAGTGGTTGTACCAGTTTGTAGAGGCAGAGCCCGAGTTTTCAGTTGTCAAATGTGGGATTCTTGGACAGGTTCTGCACTTGGCAGAGAAATCTGCTGTCAGCAGAGCATCAGCCAATCTATTTGCAAGTCAGTGATTTTGGATGGGTTCACTGGCGTTTTACTTCCGCTTATTTGTGGAAACCAATATGTATGCGAAGCCTGCTGGCACACTTGGACCTCGGAAGTTCCAACGACTTGATTTCGACGTCAAACAGTGTCTTCCACAAAGTACACAGCGTTTTGCACCGTATAAGGATAGCTTGACTGTTTGTTTCAGATCCCAGCGATGCTTTTGTAGCAAATTAAGTGTAGATGCTCTGTGAGGCTTTCGGCCAAACCATAGTGGGCCCTTGGTAGGCAAAGAAACAGCAAGCTCGAAAGGACCTCGCAGAGTGTCTTTGCCTTTGTGGTTGCGATCAGGCAGCGGTTTTCATGCCATTCTTGGCATTTGTTCCAGGAACTAAAATGAGTTCCATGGCATTCAGTACAGCTTTCTGGGTCTTAGAGCCAATCCGACGTGGCAATGGCAACAGCATTGCTACAATTTTGATTGGTTTGACCCATTCATGCCTCTACACCTCCAAGGGGCTGTGCAGATTCTGTGTGTAGAATGGTAGTAACGACGGATGAGCTACTGACCAAATAGCATCATCAAGCAAGAGTTGCCAAGTTTCTGCCGGAGACGATTGAAAATACTAGAATACTGGAACACTTACAATCAGTAGCTCACTTGGCCTGTCTTGCAGCAAGAGCGCTAGCGGCAGCAAAAATACTTGCAACAGTGTTGCCCACAACATCCAATTGATTTCTGGAGGGTCGTGAGGTACAGACACGGCGGAGCTGTGTGATAAGGTCCCCAGTCACGCACTTGAGACCATTTGGCTCGTGGACGCCCTCTCTAGAGAAATGATCGGTCGCAAGTTCAACCCGCCAGAAATGCTGCCAATGATCATGCTCAGCCTTTCATCCAACATATGTCAACATTTACTGAGCACGCTTGCATGTACATGTACAGTAATTATGTTTCTATGTCATGAAGTAAGGTCAGGACATCTCAAAGATGATGCTTGTGGCTGTCAGAGAACACCAAAGAATTTCTGATTCTCGCCATGAGCTGCCGGACATGCCCGTGCAGTTCAAGTTCCGCGGAGAGAAGGTGAGGAGACGTTGCAGTAAATAAAGTGTGGTGCCATTGCCACAGTTTTCTATTTAGGCTTTCCGAAGTTTGCTGAACGTGACAACGCCGCACACTTAGCACGAACTTCACTGCACACGGGCCGAGCATTTCCAGGATGCCTTCGGCATGCTTTGGCATGCTTCGGCCAAGGCCATGCACCCTTCAGAGAGTTCGGACCGCCATCTATGAGCAGGAGTGCCCATGTGGATGCAAGAGACATTGACAGAGAACTGCTTGTTCTGACTCATCCATCCTAACAAAAGGATACCAAAGTGATCGTCAACCTGATTGAACCTTTACGCTTGAAGTTTCCGTCACTTGGTGAGAGGCCCGAATCTCTGATGCGACGACGGCCACTGCCTTTTCGATGCCAAAGTGGCATATTGAAGCAAGAACAAGAAGTCAAGGACGCTGCTAGTAGCTCCTGGCCATACTACTACCAACCAGAAGCTACTAGGAACCCGGGCATCGCTACTAGGATCAAGGAGGCTACTAGGGGTCCTGGCCTTACTACTAGGAGCAAGGACGCTACTAGTAGCAAGAATGCTACTAGTAGTGCCAGGAGCCCCTAGTAGCTTTTTGTTGCTAGGCCATGCCCAATACAGCCATTGTTTACAGAGTGCTTAAAAGTCGATTGGGTGCCGAGGATTTGCACCTTGACAACAATGCAACAGGGACTACCCTAGATCCCAAGGAGCCGTAGTGCACATTTGCACAGCAGAACTTCATTTTCTGCAGTTCATGAGCAGAGCAGCAATTTGCATGAGGCGCTGTTGATCGAGGATAGTCTCGTCCAGGCTGTTTGAGCACGCCACACAAAAACTGAACGAGAAGAAAGTTAAGCTTCCCCCCAAATCTAGAAGCTAAATCATTGAGGCTCAGGTTTCCTCGAAGGAGCCAGAGCCCTCCTGCGTCCTAGGTAGTAGCTATACTTAAGCTTAGTAGCTACTCAGCTACTCGTTATTTGCAAGCTTACTTAAGCCTCCTCACGGCCTAACCCGCTCCTTAAGTTAAATTTTCCCAAGAATCTAGGCGGGGGGCTTCTTTGAAGAGAAGTGTGAGCTATCCTCCGTCCAGTTACTAGTAGCGACTACTTAATTAAACAGCAGCGGGCGAAAAGAGATGGACAAAAAGAGGTCGAAGCGAGTCGAACCTTGATTCTTTTCAAGCGCAAGGTTCTGGTCCGTCGAACTCCTAAAGCCGAGGGGCAGCTGGCAGGCGAGTTCTCGAGAGTACTTCTATCAGCTAACTTGTGCTGATTCAGTCTATCCAGTTGCACATATGATATCATATGATCACATGTGTAATTATTGATGTTTCAGATGTTTCAGATGTCAACCTTGGCTTTTGTTTTGATCTGACAATTCTTTTTGAAGGCTCACTGTCTTTGGACGCCGTTGGTGATGATGATGACTTGGCAATGGACCAAGTTGTACAGCAGCCTTGCTCTTAGACTAGGAATAAAAAAGGGAAAAGGGAAGGACCAGGGAAGGACTTGAACTGTTCCTGCCTAAGAGCAAGATTTCTTGCCGTCAACAGCTGAGCAGCTCCCACCCCACTCTCCAACAGATAGCTCAGGCATGACGTGTCAGGGCTCGGATTGTCTTCCTCGACTGCTCCAACTCATCGTCAAGAGCCTTAGCACACCTGGTAATAATGAACACACTGCAAAATACGCGCTCCCGGTTCCAACACGACCGAGGCTTTAACCGCTCTTACAATGCTGCGGCCAGCAGTATGGTACTGAGAGATCAATCTCTGGAATCTGCGCACGGTCACGACCTGCTGAAGGCGAGAAGCGGCAGTTTGGCTATGACGGTGGCTCTGATGAGGAGGCTCCCTGCAGATGAACTCGGTTTGAGTGGGAGGCACCAAGAAAGACAAAGAAAAGTAGAGCAAGGTTACCCGAAGGCTGAAGTGAAGAGTTAAAGAAGCAAACAAAAAGTCAGACATTGGACAACTGTGCCCAGCATGGTAGTAAGGACCTCATCTCCTGCACCATGGTTCGCTGCTATGTAAAGTGCAGACAGCTTCGGGTGATTCGACGTCCTCAGGTTGCTCAAGAACCTCAAGAGCCTCCACCAGAGACTTACCTTTGCCACAGGTCCGGCTTTGAGACTGAAAAAAGAGACGGACCTACCAGAGAATGTGTTTTAATAAGATTAATAAGATCCCCCCAAAGGGGCCTTTTAAAGCCCAAGCACCACCCTTTTAAGCTCCATTGTTTTTCTGCAGAAAAAATAATGCTTTCATATGGTTTCTCTACGACCTGCTGATGCACACGGAGCCCCATGGGGCCGAGGTGCGGACTGGTCGGATCTCATTGGGTTTGGGAATCTTGGCAAAAGCTCCGTTCGTAGCGATGCCCTTTGCTCCGTTCGTAGTACGGCCAGGAGCCCCTAGTAGCGTCCTTTCGCTCCTACTAGCGATGCCAGGAGCCCCTAATAGCTTCTTGTTCCTAGTAGCAAGAGCACTTTTGCTGCCCTTTGGACTCCCTTCCAGCTTTCTCAAAATCGCTAAAACTCTTAGTTGCCTTACGCTCCGAGGAATGCCCAACGAATGATGACCCGGAGCACGTCCGAAGGGCTTGCAGCTTAAAGAATTGGATAATTTCGACGAATCAAGTCCAGGAGAGTCAAGGAATCATGAAGTTCTATGTTCTGAGGTGAGACCAGCCAAGGGCATCCCCCGGCAATTCCTCAAGAAGGAGGGACATTAGGGCCTCGTAAATGATTGCATGGATGATTGCCTAGAACTTCCAAGCCACAGTCCTCACCAGTCGCAGGTCTCGATAGAGGAAGCACAAGAGAAAAGTGCAGGAGGTGTTACGCTCATGGTTCCTGGGTCATCGACTCAGCTTCCGAAAGTTTGATCTCACTTCCTGGGTCATCGACCTGCCGAGTCTCTACGCTTTATGCAAGGCGTAGTGGCCACTACATCTATGATCATGAAGCCTCAGTCGAGGAGAAGAAGCGCATCCTTGGGGACACTGTTCAGGAGAAGGTCTGGCATCCTCTTCAGCTACAATCCTCGTGAACTCTTCTTGCCTCAACTGATTCGAGGTGACCACTGCCTTCACCCAGGGTGCGCGACGGGTTGAGGATTGAATGACCTGAGCCCCTAAACCAATTGGACATCCTGAAAGAGTGCTTGCATTCTCATGGAGGATTTGCTAAAATGTCCACTTTGCCATCAGCTTTTTCGACAGGCAGGACACAAACAGAACATGCATGAGTTTCTGATCCTTGGTGTTCGTCGCATGCTTTTGCAGGCAGTACTGGCACCATGCTGCGGGTCCACCTATTGCAGGGAGGCTCAGTCATTCTTGCATGTACCTTCAAACAAAGGAAGGAGCAACAATTTGATTGCAGCAATGTTTGGGAGTTTTTACTCAGGCAGTGATTGTGCCATCGACCGCCTGGCGCACTCTATTGAGAGCAGCTGTCCTGGCTGTGGCAAAGAGGCAGACTTGGGATACGTGTTAACAGTCGTTTAATTTTGCTCAGGGTTTTCGTTGTACTACCCTATTCCTTCCAGGTCTTGGTGCATCAACTTATTGCCAACGAGGACATTCGGAAACAAGTCGACCAGGTCCACCTCGGCAGTCTTCGGAATCTCTCCATGGACTGCTCGCAGCCCACAGCGCGTCTTATTCTGTAGTGCAGGTCACCAGGGCATCCAAAGCTGCAGCATTGGCCGCCCAGAAGGAGTCAAGTTCACCAGACAGTATGACAACAATGCACGACATTGTTGACACCTGGCCCACGAGCAACGTTAAAACGTAAAGGGTCATAAATAACACACAAAGCAGCTTGCTTTATTTTATTTTCTGTTTGGTTGAAATGCAAAGTAAGAGCAATCAATTTTGCACAGCATTGGCTCTTTGAAGTGCAGGAACCTCAACAGCCTCAAAGCCTCTCTTTCACTGCTGCACTGAAGGCTCGGGATGCGTTGGTGGTACTTGCGAAGGTTGATTCATCATAATTTGAACTTGAACCTTTCGAGGATCGAGTGAACCGACCTCGAAAGCATGCCGAAGAGAGGGTTTCAGACAGCAAGGAACTGAGAACTGAGGCATATTTGAGAAGACGAGAGTTTGGAGAGTCAAATGTGAGCGGCAGACTGCCCAAGGTGCTCCACCTTTGGCCTTGACAGATGGCCGTGCACTAAGAAGTCTGCAGAGGTTCATTTGCAAGGGAGTTGGATGGAAGGCTCCGTCGCTGCCACTGGCATCCCTGCACATTGGCAGCCGCCTGGGACCAAGACTGTGCTTGACGCGACTCTGTGTGATAAAGTGCAACCAGACAGCCCAGGCTGGCCTTTGGGCCACTTCTGACGAACAACCTGCATCAATTATGCCAGTGCTTGGGTCAAGCAACTACTTTTGAAGAGGTATTTTGTGAAGCAGAAACTTGCATCGTAGTACGCCGCCTCAACTTGGAATGCCAGCCCGGAGCAATTTTCACGCTGGCAGCAAACCATGCGTGATAGTCCTCAGTCAATGCGTAGTCATTGCTACAGATTTGCCGCATATCACTAGTAGCGTCCTTGCTCCTAGTAGCGATGCCCTTTGCTCCTAGTAGCTTCTTGTTCCTAGTAGTATGGCCAGGAGCTACTAGTAGTGTCCTTGACTTGAAATGTTTTGCATAAGACTGAAGGTGGCGGCGGTTGGGCTGATGCGAAGGCATGCGCTGAAGAATTGTTTGTAAAGACATTGCACACGTGGTCACTTTGATAGTGTTTGGACACTTCTTTACAGTAATCGATTCTATGTTTGTTGGCAAGCGGATCCTCACACCCTGATGGAAGGCTCAGTTTGAAGACTGGCAGCGGAGTGTCAAAGCAGCAGCAAGGCCGGCTTCTCAGAGATAAACATCGTTTAACATACGCATGCCCCAAACACATCATATCAATGAAATATGTAGGAAGGACACTACTAGGTGGAGTCCATCGCTATTAGGTTGGAGGCCATCGCTACTGTACTAGGAACAAGGACGCTACTAGTAGCCATTTAGGGTGGAGGATTCGAACAGATTGGCATGAAAGAAACCATCGGATGGAATTCCTTTTAGGCGGTCGCCTTGGGGGCCATAACCCCCCATAAGTCTCAACGCTGCAAAATTGCCATCCCAAAAAGACTATGTGTCCAAATTAACAGTTGCGACAACAGACATCAATATGTTAAAAAGTCTAGAAATCATATATGTTGGATGTTTTCATTTGTGGATTTTCCACAAACATGATATTTGTCAGATTTGTATCATCATCATCATCATCATCACCAGCATATCTCCACATTTGCATCTCTCTCCTCTCTCTCTCTCTCTAACTCTCTCTCTCTCTTCGTCTCTCTCTCTCTCTCTCTTCCTCTCTCTCTCTCTCTCTTTCTCTCTCTCTCTCTCTCCCTCCTTCTCGAAGTGTCAAAAGCGGAGGAACCATTTGTCACCTTCCCACGAAACGTGTGTCAAGTGTCAAAAGCTGAGGGAAGCTTACGATTTCAAGGTGCCCGCAGCAACTCTTTCGCACGAAGTGCGTGTCAAGTGTCAAAACCATTCAAAAACCGGCGGAATATTGCGACTTGAAGTGGTGGAAGTTGCCAAAGTGTGTACTTGTCGTCGAAATCGACAGTGGACGTTGCCAACGTGTAATTGTCGTCGAAAACGAAGGGGGACGGTGCCAAAGTGTGTAGCTGTCGTGGAAAACGAAGGTGGACGTCGCCAAAGTGTTTACTGTAACTGTCGTCAAAAACCACGGTGCGTCGTCCAAAGTGTGTAACCGTCATCGCAAAAGAAGGTGGAAGGTGCCAAAGTGTGTAACTGTTGTTTGAATCGACGGTGGACGTTGCCAAAGTGTGTACTTGTCGTCGAAAACGAAGAGGGACGTTGCCAACATGTAATTGTTGTCGAAAACGAAGGGGGATGTTGCCAAAGTGTGTAGCTGTCGTGGAAAACGAAGGTGAGCGTTGCCAAAGTGTGTGAAACTGTCATCGAAAACGACAGTGGATGTTGCCAAATTCCCTAACTGTTTTTGAAGACGGAGGTGGAGGTTGAGGTTGTCACTGTCGTCAAAAAAATGAAGGTAGACGTTGCCAAAGCGTGCAAACAACGATGGTGGATGTTGTCAAAATGTGTAATTGTCGTGCAAAGCCAAGGTGGACGTTGCCAAAGTGTGTAAATGTCGTCGAAAGAGGGTGGATTTTGCCAAAGTGTGTATAATTGTAGTTGAACACGAGCGTGGGCGTCGCCAAAACGTGTAAATGAAGGTGGACGGTGTAACTGTCGTCGAAAACGACAGTGGATGTCGCCAAAGGGTGTAACTGTCGTCAAAAGCGACGGTGGATGTCGTCGAAAACGGGCGTGCCAAAGTGTGCATAATTGTCGCCAAAGTGTGTACCGTCGTTGCAAGCGGAGGTGGAGGTTGCCAAAATAATTGTCATCGAAGATGAAGATAGACGTTCCCAAAATATTAATCATCATCGTCGAAATAAAATTGTCGTCTAAAATGAGGGTGGATATTATATTACAATGGTTTCTTTATTTCTTATTTTATTATCTTAAAAGAAAAATAAAATACCCAAATCTATTGAATCGAACGATTCTTTTTGAATATATTATTGGTTTATACATATAAATATTTAGGATTAAATAGAATCAATGATTTAATATTTGTAAATAATAAATCTATAATATAAATCTGAATAATTTTAAGGTAATGATTTGCAAAATCGTAGGTAATACTATAGTATGCATTATCGATATATATATCGATTTAATTATCTTAGAAGAGGTTTTAATGATTTTATTTAGATGGGATGTATTTTTGATTTAATTTGTTTTTCGATTTCGGGATCTAATTCGGTGTCGAGATTTAGTTTTTGTTTTAGATATATTTTTCTATTTTTATTAATTATTGGGCGGGTATTTTTTTGTTGGGTGATATATTTGAATTTTTTTAGTGGTCTGCTAAATTGTTTTTATTTGAAGATGTGTCTTTTTTGTATATTTTTTCGTTGTAATAATATTCGATAATTATAGATTATATTTTTAATTTTGAATTTTTGAATAGATCGTCGTTTGGCGAATCGAATTTTAATTATTATTATGGAGATGATATATTTGAAATATTGTTTTATTGTTATATTTATATATATATATATTTTTTTTTAATTTATATTATCCGAAATGAAATTACTTAACAATATTTAGATATACATATATTATATTTCGTAGAATTATATTATTTTAATTAATTTATTGTTCGATAATAACTAAAATTAAATAAATAAATTTAAATATTGTAATTTATATTATATATAAATAATTGTAAATATATTGTTTTGATTATATATTTATTAATATATATATATATTTATAGAATGATTTTATTAATTGATATAATAAATATATATTTAAAAAAATATATATATATATATTAGTAATTTATTTTTATTTTTTTTTTTTTATATATAAATTAGGATTAGGATAAGGAACATATTTGTTTTATTTTAATGAATATAAAATTTAAGAATCGAAAATTGTTTAAATATATTTTAGGATTTATAAATATTATAATATAATATTTAATAATGAAGTTATTGATATTTTTATTGTTTATTTATTTATTTATTTCTAGCCTGAACGTGGTTAGGCCCGTCTTAGGCAACATAGTTATTTAGTTGCGGTTTTTGCAATGAGAGAATCTAGCCACAATTACGATGCGAAAGGGACGAAAAGGCGGGCTTAAGTAGCCGCACCGGAAAAGGTCGTAGCTAGCAAGTCGGAAAGATTAATGTGCAAATCTTCGATGGGTCTCCGCCATCACATATTTAGATCTTCCTGAGGAATGATCTAGATTATATAGGCAGAACGGCGGATGGGATTAATAAATGGGCACCTGATCGCCTCTTTACCATCATCAATCATCCATGAGTTACCCGAGCTGATGAAGAGACATTGGTAGTGGCCGCTGTCCGGGTCATCTCCAAAATGATACACAATGGCCACCACTCGGTATTGTAGCCAACTGCCATCCCGACCGGAGGGATGATTGAAGACCGGTACATGGACCTCGGCACGAGAGAAGTCCACTGGAGTATTACGCTTCAACCCAAGTGTTGGGAATCTTTCGAGTTGCAACACTACGCATGTGCAACACTACGCATGGATGGGCATGAATGCAGGCGTTCGTGAAGGAATCCTGGCCATGCCACATATTGATCAAAATTTGCAGGTCGCATCTCTTTTCTTCCGGCATTCGAAGGAGCAATGGTGCAAGTAGAGCACCGCGGTCTTCTGTGGAGTTGGCTAGGCGTCTTTGCCAGTCATTGGACTCTATTCCCCAAACATGGCCGTGGAGGTGTTGACCTCTCAGCCACCCCAAAAATTCTGCTGCGTCCTGCTGTTCTATGGGAACGTGTTCATCGAACCACGGCTTCAGCAGGCGTTGAAATGGAACAGCAGCACAAAGATCCACCCCAGCAGGGGTGTCGAACAATTCAAGTAGAGGCTTCCTTCATTGACCCCATAGCTCAGGATCAAAACCCTCAAAAGCCAAAGTGGCCCAAAGCTGTCCCATCAGTGCTGCATTGATGTAGCAGGCATTGGAGGTATTGTAAAGCTTTGTCCGGAGCAGTTGGCGCATCAACGTCTCACATGGTGGGCAATGGCGGTAGCAAGCGGGGAGCTTTGCAGGCCGGTCGGCCTCAAGCGCAGCAAGATCAACTGGCATATCCCGCTTCCGCTCAAGGTGTTGAGAACCTCGAACAGCTGAGTCGAGGCTGCGCTTCGGAGATTGAGATCGAGACGCTCTGGTATCGTCACCTGAGAGTCTTCCGGGATTTGATCTCGATTCATGGGTTTGAGCGCTGTGAAGCGCTGGATCAGGTCTCCTTGGCTTGCCAACTGTGAAAGCTGGATGGTGAGCTCCTGGACCTTCTCTTGTGTCAGCGGTTGTTGCTTCGTCGGTCGAAGACATTTGGTCCCATGAAAGGTAATTCCAGGCATTCTCTGTTGTCAAGATACCTTTCTGGCGAAGGGCTTGAACCAAAGGATCTTCGTCAGGCGTTGGATCAAAATCTCGACTACCTTGAGGAAGTTGACCTGGCGGAGCGAACATGTGACACCTGAGTTCTGTCTCTGGTGATGCCATGCCTTGGCAGCCAAGATCATTTCCGGCAGTATCGAGCCACGACCTGCTTGCAGAAACAACAGGAAGCTGCGGTCCAGTGCCATCTGATTCAACATGTCTTCTTGCCGTAGCGTCAGCTTGGCCAACATCATCAAAAGCTCCGTATCCCCTTCGTGCTTCGAAGAGGTGGTTGAGGAGTTTGAGCGGGACTTCGATCTGCCTTTCCCAGCTGCTTTGCCCTGAGATGACTCCGGCTCGATGCGTGGGCGCTTGAGATGGGCTTGGTATGTGTCCAAAAGATCTGCAAAGGACATGTCGTCCATGGACATATTGTGACAGGACAAAATCACGTGCCAATGCGTGCTCGAGTTCAAGGATGGCGGTGCAAAGCCATTTGATTTGATCATGTTGGTGCGTGTCAAGGTTGATCAAACTGGGGTCCCACCATGTGTCCAGGCTAACTGAATTCCAAGCCCAATGTACCGGCAGCAGTTCCACAATCCATCGAACGATGAGGGGCGCGGAGCCCAGGTGTAATGCTACCTGTGGCAGGTCATGAAAATGGATTGTCCAGCACATGACATATGTCTACCAAATCAGGCGACGTTCAGGATGGAACTGAATACACCGAACAATGGATTCTTGCACTGGATGTCTCAAGGCCATGCTCGAATGGCAATCAGTGCCAAGCAGGAGGCCAAATGCCAAGGTCGAATGGTGTCCCTGAGTCGGCAGCGGAACGGATATCAGGGGCAGGGACTGTGTTGGGTGACTGTCTACCTTGGGACCATAGTGGATGTCACGAATCCAATTCATCAGGAGTACAGGACAGGTGCCCCGATCAAAATGATTCTTAAGTGCAAACGCCATGGTGAAGCTGGCCTTGCAATGCATGCAGCTCAAACGTCCAGGAAACATATCCAGGCTTGGTCGACATGGGAACGAGTTGGGCTTATCAATTTGATGAACGGTGCGAAGATGATTGGCAACTGCTTTACGTCCAAGATGCTCGAACACAAAGGACATTCATGCTCTTGAATAGGGAC